CCTGCTGTTAACAATAGGAGCCACATGAGAAATGAGGATATATATTCCTGCACAAGGAATTTCTGTTGAACATATATTTTCTTCTGAAACATTGGGCTTTGGGTAGTTTTTAATTTGTCTCTTTTATTTCTCTGAATAATACTGATGTATATTTTTTGTCAACTCTGCTGTGTTCTGCTTCTCAGTTTATGTATTTGACTTTATGACTGAGTCCCTTCCTGATGGTATCTGGTACTCATTGCTTTGATTGCAAATTGGGAGGCTGGCAGGACAATATGACAGGTTAAATGGTCGCAATGAATGGGAAGACATCCCTGAGATTAATTGCTTTCTTCAAAATCCCTCTGTTGAAATATTCACCTTTCCTGTCGTGCTGCAGGCCATCCAGCGAGAAAAGCCTGAGAAGTACAGAAAACTGCAAGATGCCAGCAGATCAGCTGAGGCCCTGGTGGAACAGATGGTGAATGGTAATTACATGGGAGTTGATTTAGATAATCTTCTTAGGGATTTGATAAATGCACAGGTTCATATTTATCACGAGAATTGTATTAGCAAATACTGTCTGAACGAAACAGTAAAGTGATGTTGCCTGATTTTTCTTTTATTATTTCTGAAAATTAAATGTGTTAATTAGAAAAGAGGAAAAAAATCTTACCCCTCTAGTACCATGAACAGAAATGTGTGTAAAACGTGCTTGCAGTAATGAACTGTATATTAACAATCTGTTCTGGGCAGAGACTTAAGTTTTCATCTTATTTTCTGAGTATGTTAAGCTTTTGAAGATACATGAACTCTTCTGAGTTAGAGAGCTGTGAAGGTCTTATACTGAACAGTCAGAAAAAAGTGCTTTCTGAAATAATAGAGAATGTATATGTATTGCTGTAATGTTCTGTATCATGGTAATTTAACATTTTATTGAGCTTTGGAAGAGATACTGGGCATTTGGGTTTTTTTAAGAATATAAATGTCAAAGCTTATAGAATTCTTAAAAAGAAAATTAGTTGTAATTTGTTTTAATTTTTATTATGATTTAAAAAAATATTCTGTTTTGGCATTCTTTTGAACTTTTAGATATTTTTAAGGGAAAAAGACAAACCAGAAGAAAGATAGATGGAAGTAAAATTTTAAGTCATGCCATTGTCTTTGATATTAAAGGATGTCTAACTTTGCAATAAAATATTAAATACAGGCCAATATCTGTCATACTGATATGATTACCAGAAGTATGTGTGTTGAATGCATTGAGCCTCAGAACATAAATTTTATATTAAATTGTTATAATGAAAAGCCAAGAATTTAATTGCTGAAAGTTAAATCCTTTGACTTTGAGATATTAACTGTCCAAGATAAACAAATTTGATGGAATCCTAGGATTATCTCGCTTAAGTGTGAAGGTGTAGTATTTTAAAATTGACCATATTTAATGTGTGGGGCATATTTAATTACCATTTCTGTAACAACTGTCATGACGGTTCCCTTCCTACTCTCAGTGAACAGACTGAAGGGAGTCTGGTAACATTTTCTCCCTTTTTGAAATCCTTTGAGCAGTTTTACATGGCTGATCATTTAGGAAACTGTCAACTTTTTTGAACATGTTTTGTGCCTTGAAGATCTGGTTCTACAGGACACTTAAGGCAGTATTTGAAATGTTTGTGCTGCCACATCGAGATTGATTACATTAGTGCCTCACTATTCCTTTGGCCAAATGTAGACTTTCACCTCAAGAATTTCAGTTTCAAATTCTTTAGATTGTATAGTATATTCTGGTGACTAATTTTGGTGTTAGTTGTAGAAATCACTAGCATATTATATATTGCTTTTCTGTTACTGTACTACATACCATGTCCAGTATCAAGTGGATTAGCATTCTGTCTTAAATATTCTCATATGTTTTTAACTCAAGGTCCTCTCTTTTTTCTCCTTTAGTCCACAGGTCCATTCTTATTCATGGTTTATAGATGTTGTAATCTCAGCTGTGGCTAGATGTGCATATAAATATTTCCAATATCTTCTAAATCAGCCCTTCTTTAGGAAGCATGTCTTCCAGTTGGGGTGCAAACCCATGGTAGATAGACTAATTAAACCAGCATGACTGTATCTGTTTCCTGTCATCTGGCTCTTGAGCTGTGTATCATGCCATACATTATGATAGCCTTGGTAGCAAGAATATTTTAGCAAGGATGAGAGATTATTTGCATATGTGAGAATGAAGATCCTTTTAGTGTCTTGGTTTTGGGGAAGAAACACATTCCTTTGAAAAGAGAAACAGTTCCCTTGGACTTGAAGCCTAAAATATTTATGGGACTTTCAGCTACTCCACCGCTGCAAAGGCAATTTGAAGAATAGTGTATGAAATGGTTAAATAATGGAGTAATCACTACCAGGTGGGAGCGCTAGAGAGTAGAATTAAGTAATAAACATTAGTTGAGGAGAAATGTAAAATTATTGTAACAAAGAATTTGCAAATGGAATATCTTGCTAGGTGTTCAAAATTACATTTTGAGTGTAGAGAAAGTTAACTGCCATGTTCATCTCTTTTGTGGCTTGTGGAAATTAATTTGGGACATAGAGTCTTCATCTCTGTTGGGTTTTTTTGTGATTTCTGGATTCACTAAGAACAAGAGGATTTAGAATATGGAAGTTTTGTTGTATCTCCAAAGTAAAGTTCAACAGAGCAAACTGATTGCCTACATACGTTCCTCTTCTAATGCTGGAACCCTTTTCCATAACATGGGAAGAAACTGGAATTAATGTGCCTTTATGGATTTGTTGGAGACACGCAGTTTAACATCTGTTAGAGCGAAGATGTACTGTTAACTTGAATGAAAAGCCTCTCTATCACAATTTACAAATCACAGATGATTATGCTCCCACTGTTATTCTGCATGGAACTTTCCTTAGGAATACCCATCATACAGTTGATGATTATCATGCATTTGCAGTGTAATCTACAATTAAAAGCGTACACAAGGCAAAGAGATTTAAGGCATAGATCAGTTGTGAAGTCAAGTGATGACTATTTTAACTGCATTATTATTTTTTACTTGTGTATCAATTAGTTCAGGACTAATAATGATTAGATTCTTAAGATTCCAATTATGCTATGACTAAATTCTTGCCTTTACTTATGTATAAAATGTGCATCCTCTTTGCTTGTAAACAAGATTCTGAATGTAATAGATGAAGAGCTTTAAAAGATGAATAACTGCGGTGGATTATAACAGAGAATACAGAATGCTGGTGAATTTCATTGTTGTATCATTTATATTTCTTGCTTTTATTTTTACTGTGATAGGAGGGGGAATAACTAAAAAATAGGATTCAAATTCAATAGACAATTGGATTTGTTTATTTAGGGTTTCATTTTTTTGTTCCTTAGCACAGGGGAAAATATTCTAAGGAAGTGTATTTATACAGGGCACTCTTCTTGCCTTATGTAAATGCTTTCAGCCTATGTCAGCAGAAGTATTTTGTACTAGAAAGAACTTCCCTCTCACACAGTGTAGCCATTCTGGTGTTTGTAAGAAGTGTGTCTGCATATTGCCATTTGAAAGACTTACCCCATCACAGGGAAAATCATTGATGCTTTTGGTAGTTGATTCTTTAACCAACCAACCATCATCTAGATGAGCTGTGCTCTGCCTCTCCTGGCCCATGCTTTTAAAGAAGTCTGGTGATTACAATCAATGAAAACCTACATCTCCTCTTCACCAGTGTTTCTAGGAAAAAAAATTCTATTCTGTTTTTCTTTTTCTAATATAGAATAACAAATGTGTTGATGCATGAGTGAAGCAGTTTAGCAGTTTGAGTGGGCACTTGACTATTATACTAGTTTAGAATAAAATAAATAGGGCATCAAAATCAGTACGCAGAGAATTTTGATAAGCAGTATTAAAGTGAATGCAAATTAATTTGTTGTGATAAAATACGTAATTATTAAATGTCACTGTTCTGTGGAAGAAATATATTATCTTGTGAGTTGCCATTTCACATACACTTATGAGTCAAAGGCTGTGAAATCCCATAATAATTTTATAATATTTTATATTATTCTGTCATAGAACTATAGAAAATTATAAATGCACTTAATATGATATACTTCATAATAAGTGGCAACTCCAAAGTACTTGCATGTAAGGTGCTGCACAATTAAAAACATTCAGACACGATTTGTTATGCGCAGTACACAAGGTAATAAAATTAATGGATGCACTTCAAATAATGATCTGTTTCCTCTGGGTGCAGTATATTTATTCACTGATTATATCAGAAGCTTTTAGAATATGAAACATGAAAAGATAATGAACCATTATACCTAAAATAATATTGTTTTACCAGAGAATGGGTTTTATATTGGTTTTTTGTCTGCTTGTCAACTTTTGGTGTGTCTTGCTGGCATGAGTAAAGCAGAGTTAGGGCATTGATGTTAACATCATGAATGAAAGCTGCTGGTTGTTAAAATTGCTAAAAATAATTAAGAAATCAGGATTTATCATAGAAGCAAGTTTCAAATTCTTAATTTTCATGATTTTAATGAGCAAATTAAAACATTAAATGTATGCCTTCATTTCATCGATTACTCAAATAGTAATTAATTTGTCATTTTCAATGTGATGGTGGACTAGCTTTCTTAAAAAAAATAAGACGACATTTTGAGCAATTTGCCTAAAAAATTTCAAATGCAAGTAATGTCCATATTCTTTCATCCTTCTGAAAAAGGTATACCAACAACTGATATAAAGCTTTATGTTACCTGAGTGGACAGTGAATTAAGAATTTTAAAAATGCATCCTATTGAGATGTTCAGATGGGTCTTCCTTTCAGTAGCATATTGTGTTGCCTAATGGTGCTTCATGCCTGCAATCTTTGGCCAAAAATTGCTCTGCACACTGTGTTCGTATACTGCTTGCTTCAGTTACAAGAAGAGCAAAAGCATTGGTTCATTTGTGCACTTGTGGAATCACATTTAGTATCAGAGTTTAGATATTAGAGAAAATAATTAAAGAAAATTATAGAATCATAGAATGGTTTGGGTTGGAAGGGACCTTAAAGACCATCTAGTTCCAACCCCCCTGCCATGGGCAGGGACACCTTGCACTAGATCAGGTTGCTCAAAGCCACATCCAGCCTGGTCTTGAAGACAACCAGGGATGGGGCATCCCCAGCTTCTCTGGGCAACCTGTTCCAGTGCCTCACCACCCTCTCTGGGAAGAACTTCTTCCTGATATCTAATCTAAACCTCCCTGATTTCAATTTGTCCCCATTACCCCTTGTCCTGTCACTACAGGCTCTTGTATAAAGTCCTCTCCCAGCACCCTTGTAGGCCCCCTTCAGATACTGGAAAACTGCAATGAGGTCTCCTCGGAGCCTCCGCTTCTCCAGGCTGAACAAGCCCCGTTCTCGCAGCCTTTCGTCATAGGAGAGGTGCTCCAGCCCACTGATCATCTTCGTGGCCCTCCTCTGGACAATTGAATAATTGAATAATACTGAGTATTTTCACATATTTAAGTGTTATGTTATGGGGGACATAGGAGTGAAAAGAAAAAAAGAGGCTATGATGAATCTAGATTTTCAGCTGAAATACAGTCCTCTCTGAATCCTTGAGGAAAACATTACAGTGAAAAGCATTGTTATGTAAGGAGAATCCATGACTGCACTTCCCCTGGTAATCATAATCTTGCCTAAGGGTACTTTGGAGACTGTGGCAGCTGAAAAAAGAGGAAAGGAGAAATAAATAAAAGTGATCTTTTTATATCTACTCTGCCAAACTCATAGGCAGTGTCTTCCAGGTTCAGAGGAAATCATGAACACAGCAGCAAAGATGTGTGTTATCTGTTATGAGTATACAGCTTTTTTATAAGCAAAGTCACAACAGGACAGAAGCAGTTGTTGAAACAGGGCATAGTTAAAGGCTCATCTTTGTAGGTGTTTGTTCTTGCTGTTGGTAAGATTCAGTATCTGTGTGCCTGGTCATCTTTGATTGCTGTTATTCAGACAAGCTATGCCATTTGTGTTTATGCTGCCTCTTCACGTTTTACTCTATGTTCAGAAAATGTACTTACGCATACCACATCTCCAGATACAAACAGACACACACAAAGGACCAGATCACTCTTGGATTTTATTAAGATGTGTCAAAATACTGTTTACCTCTTCATGCTTTAACCTTAATTTTATGTCCTTGTTCTGCCTCAAACTGTGCCATCCAGTTTCTGGAGTATATTGTCTATATATAGCTACTCCAACCACCCCAGATGCCATTATCTCCCAGTAGTACTGGGCTTCCTATCCTTCTACATTTTTGCTTGCTTGTACTTTTTGAAATCATGCACAATTTGCTTGGCTAGGGCAACATACTTGAAACAGAGCATGTCGAGGGATCTGCTATCAGGTACTGCACATGCTGTTTCCAAGTGGGTACTGCACACGCTGTTTCCAAGTGGGTTGTTTCCAAGTGACTCTGAATGAATAGCTCTGAGCTGAATCCAGAATAGGATTTGCCAGAGAACTAGAGTGCTCCACAAGGGACATGATGCCAGATTATAATTTAGTGCAGATTACCATATAGCATGGATTATAGTAATTCCTTAGAAAATTTTATTATAATAAATTTCCAGTAATTATTTAAGGCATTTAGCTGTAATTAGGACTCCATTTCCTATGTTCCACCTTCAAAAATTGCACATGAACTTTGCTATTTTTTATCCCTGATAAAGAAATATTTACTGGCAAAACAGTAAGATATTGTACCCGTTAACTAGTACATTATTAAATGATGATGATGATGTTAAAAATGTCCTTAGGCATATAGCATTACTCAGTGGATTCAAAAATTTATTAATTTTGAAGTCAATATTGATCCTATTGCTATGTGTATCTTTGCATGTCATGTCAGTAAAAAAGGTTGGGGATTACATTTAAACTTCCTCTGAAAAATAACTGAGATGCTTAAGTTAACATTATTTTGAACTCAACCAGTGTTCAAGTTTCAGAATAACTATAAATTATGTTATTGTACAACCCCTTTGCTTATCTTTGATATGTATTGCTTGGCTGGTCTCAGGGAGTATATAGAACTCTTCTACCTTTGAATAGTTCTAAATAATTGCCTCATCTGTAATAACTGAAGTCAGTTTTATTAACTTATCCATAAACCATATCAAAGAAACCAAACCATGGCTGAAAATAATCACAGAGAAGTGTCACCTATGGTTTCTCAACTCTCAGCCTTTGCTTAAGGTCTACCGGTGGTCACTGTTGGACACAGGGAATTGGCCTACGTGGAGGTGTGACCTGATAATATGTTTATTGCTCAGTGCTTATGATATTTCTAAAATACTATACATTGCAAAAACTAAGGACTGCATTATCAGAAACATCAAAATAACTGCAGAATATAGTTCCCATCCACTTTAATTGGTCTTTTTATTAAAAACAAAACCCAAAACAAACAAACAAACGAAACCCAGAAAAAACAAAGTCTTGAATATTAAATCTAATTACAGTCCAGACAGACTTTCAAAATCCAGTTGTCAGACATTTTCTTATTTATTACAGCAGTTTTAATTAGCTTTATGAATTGTATCTCTACATTCTGTTTTATTTTCTTTCTTGTACTTTAATGCACTTTATAATCCATTCCCATAGCAACAAAAGTTTCTTGGCAGCAACTTAAAACCTTTTTGAAATGCTTTCTCCACAAATGTGTAACATCTGTATGTTCAGGAATGTTATTTGGTGATAAATCATTAACTGGATTTATGAGCTCTCAAATACAGTAATTAAATTGTTAAATTATTTTACTTTGTTTTAATTATTTTATTTTATGACTTGGTTATCTTTAAGTGTTGAACTTCTCTTGTTTTCTTTCTAGAGGGTCTGAATGCTGACAACATTAGACAAGCCTCAGAGCAGCTGAAGAGCCGCTGGATTGAGTTCTGTCAGTTGCTGAGTGAAAGACTGGCATGGCTGGAGTACCAAAATAACATCATTGACTTCTACACCCAGCTGCAGCAACTGGAGCAGACAGCAATTACTGCAGAAAACTGGCTGAAAGCACAACCCACACCAGCAGCAGATTCTGCTGCAGTAAAAACTCAGTTGGAAAAATGCAAGGTTAGAGATTCTTCTCCAAGTTTTCTGTTACATTGTACTTCATAGGTGTTCCAGCAGTGGGCCAGGTTATTTCATTGTAAAAATGGAAAATGGACTCCTTATCTTTGTAAGGTAATTATTGAAAATATTTATTCAAGTAAAGATTGGTAAAGGAATAAACAGGCAACAGAACCTAGCATGTGGATATTTAAAACTCTGCCCCAAATATTCTGTTATTAAGATACTCAGATACCTAAAGCTAGGGGACAATGCCCATAAGCTCTTTCTTTTTTCTTCTTTATTTTTTTCTCCTGTAAGAATCTGTGTCTTTGATTCTTCATCAAGAAACTGTTGCTTATCACCTCTGTAGTAAGGATCTGGGACAGAATTTGTCTTCATGGTCAAGTACAAAATTCTGCCATTGCAGACCACTTTACTTGTTACGTACCCTGCATTTTGATGTATTTTGTAGTCAGATGAAGGAATACTCTTCTGTCATGATATGACAGAATTATAATATTTGTACAGAAATGGTCACACAAATTCACTCCTTATTCTCCCTAAACATTTTCATTTGTGTGCTGCACCACTATAGAAATTTTCTTCTCTCTCTTGCTGTAGAAAACTCTATGGGTGGGGATTATTTAAAAGCTAATATTGTTTGACAGGAATCTATTGAGCTGTAGTACTGTATTATAAATTGCATGACATACTTGTAGAAGTTTGACTTTGACATATTTGGTTCTAGATTCTCTCAAACTGAAAATAATGTTGGAAACTCAAGTTTAGGTCTGTGCTATTACTTCTGTTTTCAGGCATTTCCAAGCTGTCAGTGTTCTTACAGGGTTTTTTTGTTTTCTTGCAGAAAGCTTATGTTAGACCAGCTCTGCTATGAACTGTACATTTGACTTAACTTTCCTCATGTCTTTTTACTTGGTAGTTGCAAGAGTCACAGGGTGTACAAGGACTTCTGATGGTATAATAGCAAAACCTCAACCTGTAATGTGTTGCTGTGGGACTGCTAGAAATCACTGTGCATCTCCACCTCTCCTCTTCTAGTTCATGCTCTTTAGCCTGTACATAATCTAACACAGATGGGCCCAAGATTATGGGAAGTGTAGAGGTTTTCTCTTCCCAGCTTCACATCAAAAGGATGCTTCTTAGGCATGGATTTTTAATGCAAAATCTATCTCGTTTTCTTTGAGCATTACACTACTAAATAATGTCATGTGAAAGTGGCTTTAAGCAATGGCAAGAGGATCATAGTGGGAGCAGAGGTTTGTGATCTGTCACGGTTTAGCCTTATCTGGCAATTAAGTACTTCTCAGTCGCTCACTCAACCTCAGCCTGCTCCCACAGTAGGGAAGGGTCAGAAGAAGGAAAAAAAAAAAAAAAAAACCACACCAACCCAGGGAAAGCTCATAATACATGAACTATTTAATAACTATTTAATAACATAAATGAAACTTATTGTGATACTAACAATACTCGTAAGTAATTAAACCAATAGAAAATAGAACATATGATACAGTATCTCAACACCTGTGGACCAACACAGCCAGATTCCAAAACAGCAAGCAAATCTGCATGGAGAGAAATCCCCAAGCCTGAAAATGGGGATAAACACACCCACACACCCCCAGCCCAAGAGTGGGAATTAAAAAAAAAAAAAAAAAAAAGCCAGCCCAACAAAAGGAGGTAATGACCCAGCTGCCTGAAAGCCCAAAAGCCTTAACAATGAGCCTCCTCCCTTGGGGCCACATTTCACATCTTCCCAAACTGCGTATGTACACCCCCCAGCCTGACCACTGAGCCTGACACATCATGGGGTGAAACAAAACCCCCTGGAAGCTGTGGGCCAGCCAGGTCTGTGTAGGAGAGCAGCTTGTTCCTGCCTGAAACCAGCACATGACCAAAGTTTAAAAATGTTGAATTTATTCCTATTGTAACTGATGTACTTGGAAGCAAAACAGTTGTGTAATGTGCATTGAAATGGTGGTGATCTCATGGCACTAGTGATTTCATTTGTTGGGCAGCTTTACCTTGGTGTTTTTGTTCAAACATGCAGGACGAAATCATCCGAATGTCAACCCTTCAGCCTCAGATTGAACGGCTAAAGGCTCAGAGTCAAGCGCTCAAAGAGAAAGAACAAGGGCCAGTGTTTCTGGATGCTGACCTTGCTGCTTTTACCAGCCATTTCAAGCAAATACTTGCTGACATGCATGCCAGAGAAAAGCAGCTACAGACCAGTAAGTGTTCATGATAAGTCAATTTGCCTGACTAGCATGTAAACAATAGGTGTATATATTTAGCTTTCCTACTTTTGTGTTTGCTTTTGTCACACTAAACCAGTAGTACAGTTTAGGGGGTGGTCTTTTTTGCAATTGAAATCGTCCTTCAGAAATTATCAATGTGTTATATATTTTATATTAGTAGGAAAACAAGGGAAGGTACACTATTCAGAAGCAATGGTTATAGTCAGGGGAATCCTACCACCAAATCTCTTGTGAACGTGTTTATGGACAGATGTAGGGATACTTTTTGGCAACACAACACTGTCTTTCTTTAGTCAGATTACGAGACATGGCTCTCTACCAAATGAGGTAGAGAGGAGAGAGTGTTTAATTGCAGGAGTGAATCTGCCTAAATTATCATAGAATAGAAATTTAACTCCTTAAAGCTCATCAAAGAGAGTAACTGCTTTAGGATATCTAGTTTTTCATTATGTGATTATGTCCCATTTTTGTAAACACAGAATATATGAATGTTAGTTACAACATTATTTACAATATGTGTAATAAATACATTTTTCAAAAGGGCAAAAATGCTATACCAAAATAGAATGTTGACTTTATTCATTACTAAAGGTACGTAGCATGCTAGTGACTACTGTACACTCTCTGTATTTGATTATGAAATCAAAAATAAAGTTACAGATAAAAACATAAAGTTAATTTTTCTTAACATCAAAGAGAATATTTGCCCCATAAACCAATGGTATCTGTAAATGACTACTGTTTTCAAATTAGACATAGCGCTAGCTCCTTCTAGTGGATCTTTGTAGTATTCCTCCTAAATTCTTCTATGTAGAGGTTTGGAATTTTTTTTCATCATCACTGCATTATTGTGCTTCTGTGGTCATTTCACACATGTACACACACACACAAACTGAAGAGGTGATGGTACATGGGAGAACTGAAGAAATAAAAGGCAAGTGTGCCATAACATGTGATGAAAGAATGAGCTATGGAAAGTTACTATGAAGAAGCGTAAAGTTTATTCCTGATTCTAAAGTCATGCAATAGAATGAATAAGATTTTAAAACTTTTAATGCCACACTGGTTTATATGATAAAATCAATTACCATTCGTCTAACAGGAAAATATGGTAAATGCTATCTTCTTGATGAATTCTTCTATATACAGTTCTGTGTAGTTGCTGGTGTTCCCTCACCTAATTTCACTGTAATGAGGTCTTACGAATTAACCAGTTGGTTAGTCCTGTAAGATGAATAGTGTTCATTGCCTGATCTGTATTGTCACCAACGAGGGGTTTTGGTAGCTGTTCATTCCCCCTCCCATGCTGCAGTATGCTCCTTCAGTGCCCTGGCCAGCTGCAAGAGCTGCTGTATTGACATGGCAGCATTGAACATGCCAGGGAGAGTCTCCTCAAGTGCTAGAGAACAGAAGTCCCTGAATAAATGTTTTATGGAGCCCTGGTCTGTTGTAACTGCTTTATGTGGCTGCTCTGTATCACAGGCTCTGCATCTCAAATAGTTCAGCTGTCAAGATGGGACTGTTTTATCCCTTGCATTACATAGCTGTAGTGATATTTTAGGTGAGATTATTATGTCAATCATATTGTATCTTCAGAAGTTTATACACTGTTTTATCCGAAGTTTAAACTTCCTTTCATAACTCTGCTTTAGATACGAGCACTAATGCTTGGAATATTGTTGTTAGTTCTAATGCCATTTCAGGAAGATCTTATGGATCAAAAACTGTGTGCGAAACAAACAAAAACACCAAACAAAAAAAACCCAAAGCTGAACCATAAAAGATTTGGCTCTTTGAGTTTCTTCTCCTTTCTCCACTGACTATTTTTCTTCTGTGGAACAGGCAGAGGAAAGGCCATATCCCATGCCTTTATTTTAGCCTTAGTTTAATAGAAAATGTTGGAATTTTGCTGGAGCGTTTTAGATATTTCTATCTCTTATTTACATAAATTCTATGCAATTAATTGTTTTGTATTGACAGAAGAACTTCTTAAAGACTGAATGCTGTTTTGCAAATGACTGATAGTATCTGTTCGTTTTTGTTCCTTGTACATCTACCTTACACAGGCTAAAGAGATTTTTTAATTATTATTTATTTTTCATCAATAAGGGATGTTTTATGGTAAAATAATTTTTCATTCTTCATTAAGAGTTTGACTGGGTTTTGGTGGGTTTTCTTTGGTTGTGTGTTTTTTGATTTGGGTTTTTTGGGGGTTTTTGGGGTTTTTTTTTTTGCAGTGGGATTGTTTGTTTTTTCATGTCCCATTACTTCATTGTCTTTTCTGGTGGATAAGAATATTTAGTTATTCTATTCTGTTTTCAAGGATTTTTTTTTTTCCAAAAATAAATTTTCTCTAGTTCTAAGAGGCTGTCTCACTGAAATATTTTTTTGGTTGGTAGGTTTTTGGTGTTTGGTTTTGTTTGTTTGGTTGGTTTTGGTGTTTTGGCTTTTTCTGGGGGGAAGGGAGGAAGGGGTAAGTTTGGGGTTTCTTTTAGGTTTATGAGTGCTTAGTATTTTCTCTATATTGCATAGTAGATTTAATAAAATGTTGTTAAAGATTAAATCAGATTTTCCCAAATGTCTTTCTCAAATGATTTAAGTAGCATTTCCAGTTAGAAAACCTAATTTAAGGCAAATCTTAAAAACAATTTGGGTTTTCTTTCACTCTTCTGCAATGTTGTTTATAAAAGAAATACAACCTCATAAAATATGAAGAAGTGCGACCACATTTTTCTTACTTTACAGAATGTCTACATAACCATATGTAACTGATCCTTTTGAAGGTGGTGTATCCATCGTTCCAGTTCTCCCTCCTCCCTAAAAACATTTACAGTCATTTATAGAATATTGATATACAGAAGAAATAGAGGTCAGACAATGCTTCAAACTATTAAGTAATGCACACAAGGGAGTGAAATGGACAAACACAGAAATAATTTTGAATATAATAGTGTGATTTCCCAAGGTGATTCTTAGTTTTATAATTGCCCTGGTGAAGAATGAAGGGTTGAACTTTCTATTTACTTGTTTTGAAATTAACTACTACCATGCTAGGGAGATTTCCTGGGAGCAGCCTGGTCAGCCTCCCATTCTCCTTAAGCCCAGGGAGAGGTCTCAGTCAGTGTCAGGTGTACTCCGTGGTTCAAACTAACTCCCAGGTGGCAGCTGATTCATTCCAGCATTTCTCTTGCTCTATGACTGGACTAAACTCTGTTAAGGTTCTTCTGTTATTTAGTCTTGCTCTAGTGAGCTCTTATCCAGCTGTGGTCTTCAGTGGAGAAGCCTTCTGAGACATGTTCTCAATTTGACAATTTGGAGTTTGGGGGGTGTGATTTGATTTTTAGAAATTAAGTAAAAAAAAAAAAAATAAAATAAAAAAACCTTTTATGGCAAGTAAAATTAAGAATACGAGCATGGAGATGGCAAAGGAAAAGTCATACTTATTTTCATTTTTTTGTGCTTCATAAATTCATACACTGTGCTTTCCTTTCAAATCCTGATGCTACCTTTTCAGGATCAGTAATTCTGAAACGTGACATCATAGTCATCACTGTTGTTATTATACTTTTTAAATTATTATTAATATTATTATGAAGTATCATTCATTGTCGCTTAAATGTTGTTTCTCCTATTTAATTCAAGAACACCTTTAGAAAGTTTTTGACTTCTGTATCATGTAAAGATTCATTAGATTTTTATTTACCTACCCCATGCTTATTGTTATTTTGCATGTACACTACTTTACTACCTAATCCACTAGTACCGTGTCTGAAAGAGGGTTGCATTACATAGAGTTCATGCAACTCACTCTTGGTATAATTTTATAAGGTAACAAACCACAGTAACCATAACAGTATGAATACCATGTGGACTTTTAGTGTGCCATTTGTCCACCTTTGTGTAAACTCTGAACTGCTAACTTATTTTCATGCTCTAAGTATCTTTGAAATGAGTTACAAGTGACAGTGAAATTGTTATGATATGTATAGTGATCTTCCACCAATCATTGTGTACTTGCAGAATAAAAATTTTAAGCAAGTGTCCTGTAAATTTCATAAATTCAAGTTTTTCTTAAGACCTCAAGTGTGATTTAGTAGCACTAATATTAATTGCTTTTTGGTTTGAGAGTTAAAATTTGGTTTGCTTTCTCTGAATGTGCCTTTTGAGTTGAAGATACAGCTCAGATGTGTGTGAGAAGATATTATTTTAATAGGTAATGTGCAGGTAATCTTATTTTTCTGTTGCATCCCTTTCCTCAGGTAATTATTTTCTATTTAAATAAAGAACACACAGAAAAAGCATATGAATTCATATGTGATAATGACCTCTGTAGGTCTCTCTATCCTTTTTTCCTCATGATAAAAATGAAAATTTATAAGGATGGGAAATAAAACCATATTAAGGGGAAAAGTATCTTTACAAGGTATTTACTTTGACATTAGATCTGTAGAACCAGAGAAGGACTTCCCTTCTATTTCTTTTAGGAAGTTAATAAATAAGAGACTTGTTAAAGTACTTACAGAACATTGAGTATGTATTATACAAGATTCTTTGTGACTCCACTTTGAAAATTTCTTGTGAAAGATGTGGGAGAAGGGAATCAGTGCTTTTATAAAGTTTTCAATATAAAGACTTTGATGAATAACTTCAAATATCTCTGTTAGGAAATAAGCAAAACAAAGTTGTGAGGAAACCAGCAGGGTTTTAAACACTGCAGTTACTACTGAGGAGATTTTTATGGGAAAGACATGCAGTTCAATCTAGTTCATTTATTTTGGGAAATAAGTCTTTACTGAAATGATCCCATACATTATATTTATTACCTTTCTTCTTATTTAATAATGATGTGATGAACAGTGGGATTTGTCCTGACTCTAAGAGATAGACATTGCAGAATATCCAGTGTCATTTGATAGTTGTTCAGATAATTGTATTCTCATTTCATTTCTGATTTGGGAAAATAATTTTGACTGGGAAATCTGGTCGCTAAAAAGGAAGCTGGGAGGAGAAAAGAGAGAATGTGTTTTACTCATTTGGAAAGCTGCTATCACATGTGTAAATACTTTGATTTATTAAAAATATATCCTGACCAAATGTCTATCTGCACAATGGATTTCAAAATCTAGGTACTTTCTCTAAAATTAATATAAAAGTGTAAATCTATTTGCCTTATAGTTCTCAAGGGTTAGAGTACACTGGTGTTAGTCACACCAAAATGCATTCCCTTCATGTAGAATAGATTAATGCAAAAATATTTTCCTATTCTGGGATGGGAACTGTATTTTGATGTTTCACAATAACATATTAGTATTTTCCTCTGTGATATTTTGTTACACTTCTGTCATGAGCCTTGTTCAGCTATAGCTTAGGTTGTAGACATGCTATATCTTTTTCACTCACTGCCAATTCAATTTTTCATAAAATATAGCAGAATCCATATTAACACACTGTGGTTATTATATGGACTTTAATCGATAAACATTAGTATCACAAAGCAAGTTTTAGGATAAAAATAAACAGGTCTGGATATGTGTTTATGTTATGAACATAGGAAATTCAGGGATTCATACTGCCCACAGAGACCGTAAATGTCTTAGATTATTGAGACAGCTAAAATTCTGTAACGTGACACTCTCTGTAGGAATTTGAATTGTCACCACTGACATAACGAGCTGCAAAGGCAATATAGGCTCTTAAGTGTAACCCAAAAAGATGCTAATATGCTTCCTTGTGGATGAAAATGCTGACATATTGGCTATCTTTAAAAAGCAAACAAACTAAAAAAAACACAAAAAACCCCTCTCCTAAAAAGAAAGCAAACAATCCCAACAAGCTTCAAAAACTCACTAGAAGGTAGTATTTCACTACTAGCAATCTGGAAAAATGGAATAGGAAAACTATTTTTTCACTGAACTAAAAGTGTTTTTTAAATGCAATATGTAATAACTATATTGGAGAATCACTAGTTTGATTGAATCAGCAACTGTGATGCCACTTGAATCCTTATTTAGGCCTTCAAATGGTAGAGAACATCATTTGTTAAAATTGGACAAAAGTTTGCTGTGTTTGGATGACTTCAAAATTATTATTATTGTCAAACTTCCAGATAAGAGTTCCACGTGTTTTGGTGGAGTTTCCTGTAACAGCAAACCTTGGTTTTTTTACCTGTTCCACAATACTGTTCAGTACTACTGAAAATAGGTATTTTTATATAGCTGCTTGAAGTCATACATTAGTCCTAAGATTTTTTTTTTTCATTTAAAGGAGAAAATTATTTATGGAAGTCATCACAATACTGAAATCAATTCTAAATAAAGCTGTTGATTGAGTTGTATACTCCTTTAACATACCTGGGCTGTTAATATTATATCTCCATTCATTTGGAGTGATGTGTTTAAATGCATGTTCTATTCTGAAGTAGGAATTTTTTGTATTAAATAAATCAAAGACAATACAAATTTCACTATATATATTAAAAAAAAGGTATTTGGTGAGATGAAAAATGTTTGTTTTCTGTGTTTCCAAGAAGGTATTAATATTGTTTTCTGTGTAAAGAAAATACATTGCAAGGGAAGAAATTCTTGTTTTTCCTGGTACTGAGTCCTATCTTTCATAAATCCCAAGATGTGTGTGATAAATCAGATCAGCCAAGATTTTTGGCAGAGGAAAGTATGCTATACAATGTGCAAAAACCACCAGAGAGAGCTTAAATTGCCCTGATTTTAATATGTTCTTATGATACCTAACTAAAAATGTACATTTTTTTCAAGTAGCACTTTGTTGATCACACATAAAAATAGGTTAAAATCTGAAGTACTTTCTGCCAAGCATTGCTGTATGAGAATGTAAGCAGGCTTGCACTTAAAAACTTCAAACATGGTGTTTGACATAATTGCTTTCTGAACAGCTATATGATTTCTCAATACAAATCCTTCTGAAACACCAAAGGCATACAGAAGATAGAAATAGGTGTAACATTTTTTTGAGCTTTCATATACTCCTTTATTATGTGGTATAAGTTGGAAATGTTTCATGGTATTTCTCTGGACTTTTCTCAATGAATATAGAGGCAACTGCTGTTGAGGACAGAGGGAGTATCTCTGCTAATGAGCTGCTCATGTGTGTGCCAGATGTTGTCTATTTACAGCAGCTGTAATGTTGGCACAACAAGCACAGTTCAATAAAATTCAACTTTAGTGCAGAAGAAAGATTAATTTTCTAAGCTTCTGTGCTTTCTTAATCTTCTTTCTTAAGCACAGAAGATTTTGCTTGAACAGAAACATTAAATACACAAACATGAGTCATAAAAAAGGAGTGCTCTTTATTACTACATTTCTGAAGTTAGATTTTGGGTTAAGTACGATGGTTTTTCTATTGACCTCTAAACAGGCTCTAAAAAATTAAAACAAGTTGTCTTGGCCATAAGACCAGTTGTCCTGTGACCTATAACAAGAGAGTCAAATGACATACAATTGATAAAATGATAGGAGATATAAACATTAGAATGAGTCTATTAATTCTTCAAAATCTATCTGCTTCCACAATTTTTTAAAAAATTTGATGCTGTCACACTGGGCCTGTTGCAATCTGTTGCAAAATAGCCGACTTCAATAAGGCTCAATATTTTATCAAACATCTTCTGTCAGCAAACCAAATAATGAAGAACAAAATTATTTTGTTTTCTTTTTCTTTCCCATTGAATGTAGTTTTTGACAGTTTGCCTCCTGCACACTACAAAGAGACAATGAGCACTATACTTGTGTGGATCCAGCAGTCAGAAACTAAACTCTCCATGCCTCGGGTTGCAGTTGCTGAATATGAAATCATGGAGGAGAGACTCAGGGAGCTCAAGGTGAGTGGTCAGGCTGTGGGAATGAATGTCTCAAATGAAAAGTTTAGAGGAATGGAAGATAAAGTTGTCATGAGTCTGCTGATGCCTACAGATTTTGACTGAACTAATCGCTTTTGGGGTTTAGCCAGGGGTTTCAAGAGATTCTGGATACTTACTTATATTGATTCCTAAATTTAAAGTATTGAAAGAGTTCTTCACCATTGAAACCAAATTTATAAGATAGCAAACATGTTAAGGAAAAGCCTTTGTTTCTCCTCACAATATATAAAATATTCCTTTGAGAATAGCTCTGGTAGGTGCATAGATTTAGGTCATTTAATTTTCCAGTGCTGACAGGGAAATGATTGTGATTTGCAAAATGCAGCATGTGCTTTGTCAGATTTTCTGTTGAATTTACAGGCAAACACAAACGTGGAACAAGTTTTGCCAGTGGGCACAAACCTTCCCTGCATTTCAATGTTTTATATTGTCCTCCTACTGGGTGGCTAATGAACATGTTTGATGCAACTATCAGTGTACATGCAGAAATAAAAAGAAGAATATTTTAAAAAAAAAAAAGCTTTAGATGCAGCAAATTTGGGCTAAGAATTGCAAAAAAATTTTGAGAAAAAGTTATCAAAAACTAAATCAAAGAAAAAGTTCTAAGTTTTTTCTTTTTGTCCATGTATAATCTGATTGTTTTGAAAGTGTAATCATTAGGGCTATAGTAAATTCCTGTCTCAAATTAATGAATTGTATATGGAACACCTGTATTAACAAGCACAAACACCTCTAGTTATATTCTCAGTTCAACTGAAAATTCCACTTTCTGGTTTGTGTGAGAAAAGAAATTCCAACTTCCTCAGTAGAAGATATCAGATGTTTTAGCAAAGGTGACCTACATTTTTAATTTTCAGTCCTTTCTTCAGCAGTCCAGCTTATGTGAAACAAAGAGAATTGTCTGACACATGAATCAGGATAGTATTTGCTTCTTATTCATAGGCTCTACAAATTTCTCTGCAAGAGCAGCAAAAAGGCCTGAACTATCTCAGCACAACTGTGGAAGACATGGCCAGGAAAGCCCCTGCAGAAGTCAGCCAGAAGTATCGATCGGAGATTGAGGTGATCCTTGGCCGCTGGAAGAAATTATCAACACAGCTGGTGGAACATTGCCAGAAACTTGAGGAGCTTATGACTAAACTCCAGCGATTCCAGGTCAACCAAAATTTTTCAGCTCAACTTCTGTGTGGTGGCTTGTGATTGTGGGAATAGCACAGCATGCATTGATACATCTCAAGAAAATAACAACTAAGAGAAATATCAAAGTGGTTCCTAAAATATATTTAAACGCTCACCTGATTTTGATGGGTACAAGATTTTACTTTTAATTCTGATTTTGCGTCGGTTATTTCAGTAGTAAAACTGAACTTTGATTTCAGTGCAATTGCTGCTAATATTCCTCTACTTTCTTTTTCAATTTAGCTGGAGTACTTTTTCATGCAGCTGAAATAGCTCCAACCATATTGACTTTAAGGGATTTACTTACATAATTAAAATCATTTGTAATATGGTAATGTCTTGGCATCAGCTGCCAGAAAGCATAAGTGTACATGACTTACTCAGTTGCATTAATTTCAGGTATTTAGAATGATAGCATTGAAACCTTACGTTGTTTCTCTTATTGTGAGGATGTCCTATTTTTTACTTATTTATAAATCACATATATCACCATTACAGAGGATGTCTATGACTTAGGTTATTTAAGGTTTAAAATACGTCCAGTTTTAACATATTCCTGTTCTATTTCCATATTATTTCAAGGAACAGGTTTTAGAGGAATTTAGATTAACCAGTCACAAAAATGGAGAAAGTATTTCAAATTTTTATACGTGATCTCTCCTCTTCCCCATGCAAATGAACACCTGCATACTCATGGGGGATATGTCAAAGAAAGTTCTGAAGGTTGAGGTCCTGCAGCCATACTCAAAGTTGTGTTCTCACAGTGTGTTTCTTCTGTTGTTTCCCTGTATTTCTTCTATTTACAACATCAAATATTTCTGTCCTTGGCTTTGGTTTGCTGGTAGTAGAACATGATACATGATTTGTTCCATGTTGTGAACTATAATACAATAGCATGTGAACTGTAATTGTTATTTTCAGCTTAATTGAGTTGTCAGTTCAGGATTTTTTTTTTTTTTTTTTTTTTTGGTCAAAGTATTCTTATATTTCTGCTTTTCTAGAGTAAAAAAAATTGATTTCTTTTTAGAGAAGAAAAAAAGTACTCATTACTTCGTTACTCTGCATCAGTTTTTAGACAAACAAAATGGACCAAAAAAGGAGGAAAATTTTTATCAGTACCACTGGTAATTACCCACTGAAATGTCATGTTTCTCTAAATTGTAACTTTGGGTCCATAGCTACACGACTTTTGAAGCTGACCATGAGATGAAGTTTCATGGTACAGTGCAATAATCTTGACCAGCAGCCAGATGCCCTCACAGCTGGTCTCTCACACCCTGTCCTCAGCAGGACAGGAGGAGAAAATAGTATGGAAAAGCTCTTGCGTTAGATGAAGACAGGGAGATCACTTACCAGTTACCATCACAGGCACCGACACAACTTGGGGAAAACTGATTTCATCGATTGTCAATTTAAGTAGATTTGAGTAGTGAGAAAAAAAAAAGAAAAAAAATAAAAGGACGCCTCCCCTCCTTCTCTTTTTCCTAGACTGCACTCCCTTATTTTACTCTTGTCTCCTCTCTCCCCAAGGGGCACAGGGGAATAGGGAATGGGGACTGCAGTCAGTCTGTAACAGCTCCTCTCTGCTGCTTCTCCTCCTCACTCTTCTCCCCTTCACCAGTGTGTGTCCTCCCAGGGGCTGCAGTCCTTCAGGAATTATCTGCTTCTGTGTGGACTCTGTGAGGGCTATAGCCTCCTAAAGGGCATATCCAACTGTTCCAGTGTGGAGCCTTCCATGTACTGCAGGGTGAATATTTGACCTACCATGGACTTTCATAGGCTTCAGGGGGACAACAATCACAGGGTGCAGAGAATCTCTACTGTGGCAGCTGGAGAATCTCCTCTCCTTCCTTCCTCACTCACCTTGGTGTCTTCAGGACTGTTTCTCACTTTTTTCTCTCCTACTGTGCCTGTCTGGCACGCTTTGTCTGACTTAACTGTATTATCACAGAGGTGTCACTAGCCAGCCTGAGGTCATCTGTGTCCTGTGGTGGGTCCATTGGAGACCTGGCTGTGTCCAGCACAGGGCAGCACCTGACCTCTCCTCACAGAGGCCACCACTACTAGCAAAACCTTCCACTCAATATATATAGGAAAACTGGAAAGTGGTTTATCAATAGTACAATAAAATATTTGCAATTGAGCAAACACATTTTGCTTGAGAAACTACAACTTTGCCCTTCCCCTCCCACCCCTCCAATCTCCAAATTTTCTGGAGATTTACAGGTTGCCTCACTGCTTTTAAAAGGACATGATCCTGAACATCATGACCATGCTCTGTAGGGCACATATTTTTAAAGCTATGTGGGCTATTGTTGCATACAAATCTTAGCCTTTATATTTATTGCTGAAGTCACTGTAATACATAGTTAATATAAAAAACATGGTCTTTTCAACCCCTTGTATACCTTGTCTTCCAGACAATTGTTTTAGTTGTTGCAATTTATGGCATGCACCAACAAAGGATACGAAAAAGTCAGTGTTGACAAATAAAATGCATTTACAGAATAATTCAAAATGCAAGTCATACATTAGATCTTCACTGGTAGCTGGAGACTGATTCCTTTTTAAGTAAATCCCATTAGATCTATATTTGCCAGCATTAATGAACTATACTTAAAGTATTCGTGTAAAAGTATTAAAGTTTGATAATGAAATATGATCCTGAACTATTTTTAATCTCAATGATAATCAAATGCACACTAGACACTCCAGCAGTGTTTTGGTAATTGCCATTCTGAAGTATACTGATAATTACTGTATGATCATTTTTATTAATTCAGTTCATTTTGCACATTAACTTGCTGTTAAAAATATCATGCCCATTAGGAAAATGCTCACTGTGGTTATTTATCTCGCAACAGTTGCTAAGGCATTTCTGTACACACTTCAGGTCACAGACTGTATTCTAATGAGGTGTCCTTTTTTGTGCTTTAATTCAACTTTGCATTCAGCATATAATATCAATATGTACTTCACTGTTTGTGAAAACAGTTTGATGAACAAATACTTTACAATTTGCATTTCAAATTTTTGCTCTTTATAATTTTTATTTCAACATGTGTATCTAATTGTTTACCTACAGTGGCATTTTAGAATAGATTTAAGTGACATTTTTTAAATCTCATTCTACCTTTCACAGTTTTAGATTATGTAATGTTGCCTGGGCTGTGTAGCATTCCCTCTTCAAGTATTTGATGTTCCGCTTTTTTTATTAATGGTGAGGATTAATGAAAGACTACAGAAAGGAAATTGCTCATTACAAATATTCTACTGCTAGAACAGTAACTAAGAATCAGTCTCTGAAATGACTCATAGACATTATATGATCTTCGTTTCTGAAGTGAACCTGTTTCAATTACTGTTACAGGGTTTTTTTTGGTTTGGTTTGGTTTTATTCTGAGTAGTAAGGGAGTTTTTCTGTGTTGTGTTCTGGAAGAGAAATAGGCAGTAGAGCATGCAACTTCCACAAGGAGCCCGATATTTAAAGTGAAGCACAGGAGGATTTGATAGGTGATCCAGCATTAATTTCAAAGTATGTGTTGCCTGAAGCCATATGAGAAAATATGTTCGCAAAGGACATCTGGGAGGTGTAAACTCAAGCATCAGAAAGTTACCCACTTGTGGATACATTAAACGAAGGTAGAAATGGTCAGAGTGCAGGCTGAAGGGTGGAGGACAGTCCCAGATAAAATTGGGTTTGCCTCTTTACTGTGTTTGTATTTTTCAGACTGTTCAATTATCTTGAAATTAGATTGCAATGAGTTTTAGTCATAGGGCCAGGATGAATTACAGTAGTGTCAGTCAGGTTCTTAGCGATGTAATAAAATGTCTTTTTAATGAACAGAATGACACTAAAACACTGAAGAAGTGGATGGCTGAAGTGGATGTTTTTCTGAAGGAAGAGTGGCCTGCCCTTGGTGATACAGAAGCACTGGAAAAGCAGCTTGAGCAATGCACAGTGAGTATTAGCTGCCTGCTTGACAATTATTCAATTCTTCTCTATGAGCCTAGCGTATACAGAAGTTACAAGATTGCTGTTTCTAAACATAAATTCATGTTGTAAGGGGGTTGTCATGTGCAATGTATTTGAACTTCCTGTGTTTCCTGGGTTTGAAGGAAAATTCTGCTAAAAAATGGCAAATTTTAATACAGTGAGGAAGCTTACAGTGATGGTATCATTATGTATTTATGTCAGGACCAAACCATCAAAGGAGAGTACTAGCAGCAAATAATAAGTTAGTAGCCTCTTGACATAACTGTTTATTTACCTTGTTGAGTTTAAAAACATTGCAGATGTATTTGTTATATACTGTACAATCTGTGCCAGAAGATGTTTTTCTGTATCTGTTATTTACACATGATATACAACCTTTTCTGACTGTACCAAAAGAACTTGCATATATTCTGATTTACATCCACTTTTTTCAATGAACTTTAAAGTTCTACAGTTTTGCCTCAGAAGAGTTTTAAAGCATCATGAAGTATTGATACTTTCATCCCACGGTTTACAAATTCTGCCTGTCCCAACAGAGTGCGTAACTACAGTGAATCTTGTAATCCATTATAGTTCTTGTCTATATATTCAGTGGAATTTACAAGTTCTGTAAATGTTCTGGTAGGATGTGCAAATATTATGAAACATACATATTGATCATACAGAACTATGAGCTGCTTAGACTTTCCCTCTTACCCCTTATTTGAATAAAAATTATTATAAATTATATAAAACAATACTTAGCTCTACAGAGTAGTAAGTTACATGTAACTCCTTTACAACCTGCACCTGAATTTATGAAACGTTTGCACAAATATAAGCCATTAATATATAATAAAGCTACCAAGATCATCATCATATTTTATGTATTTGCACTTCCAGCATTTTCTACTCTGTAGGAAGCCTCAAGGCTTAAATAATATTCAACCACAAATATAAATCTAATAACTAGACATAACCAGAGAATATCACCATTCTGATCACTTTAAGGAAGATACCAGGTGAGTTACCATCCCAAGGGTAATTGTGGCATCATTAATAAGGATTCACAAATAATTTTTCACTACTATGATGTAATTCTCTTGTGCAAATGTGAATACAAGATTGAGGCGTTATAATAGATACTTGTAATACAACACTATACATGTTTATATATAATATGTACATAACATTTAAAACATGTATATTGCAAATGAACTCTATCTGATATAGAATAGCTTACCACATTACAGCTGCTCATTCTTTTTTTATTTATTTCCATCGTTAAGTCTGTAAATTGTTCTCGTTTGACTGGAGATCTGGAACAGAGACATATCAGAATCTCATGTACACGTTTTGATAGGGATAATATATCTGAAAATTTATGTGAATGCAGCTTGCCTAATCTTCTGCTATTTCTCTAGGCTTTAGTAAATGATATCCAGACGATCCAGCCCAGTTTGAACAGTGTTAATGAGGTTGGGAAGAAAATGAAGAGTGAAGCAGAGCCACAATTTGCTTCCAGAATAGAGGCAGAACTAAAGGAGCTCAATGTTCAATGGGAACACATTTGCCAACAGGTAACAAGTCTCCTGCTCTGATAGGTTCATTTTAAATTAATAATTAGACTTCTCATTGGCAGAATTTATCCTTCTATGCATATCCAGTAGAAATGGAACTAAATTTAGACATATTTGTTCACATTAATTAAACTTCTATTTTAGAAATTTTATTTAGCATGTACCAATAATAAAGTAGATACATTTATATTGTAATACAATATTTTATTATTTTTATAACTAACTTATATACTTATATCTTAGACCTTAACAGCAATGTCATTTATGGCTCTGGCAAAACTAGCTTTCTGAAAGGACTATATAGTCATTTGCCAAAAAATCAAGTTCTGTATTTATTAGATATTCTGTATCTGTATTTCAATTTGTGTTATTGTGTTTCCGTGTCATTAGTCTAGAAGCAAAAAAGATGCTAAAGCAGTGAAGAATTCAGAATTCAAATAAGTTGGAATTATGAATATGTGTGCATATGTGTGTGTGCAAATTACAGTTTCCAATGGTCACATGCATTTGAGAGAATGAGGCATAAAAGGAAAGGACAGTTATTTTAATTAAATAAGTTCTTAGTAAATAATTCTACTGATTAAGGAAGCTAAAAATTACTATTCTTGCATTTTTATTTTCATTCTTTCTGACAGTTCAAAGAAAACATCTTTCATGTTCTCTTATTTTTACTTTTTTTTCTACTAGTTCATTCTGATATTTACTTTTTACATATATATTTGTATAACAGTAAAACTATTACCTTTCAGGGTGGTCTAATGTTTTCTAAAATTATTATTATTTACTTTGCATGTGAAAAATAGCTTCCATGTTGGGGTTTTTTTTACATATATATAGAGTTATCAAAAATTTGATCTTTGAAATCTATATGACATTTTATTGATCCTGTCTGTAGCAGCAACTTGAGGCCATTTTCTCTTGTCCTATCACTTGTCACAAGAGACCAAGCATCACCTCTTTGCAACCTCCTTTCAGGTAGTTGTAGAGAGTGATAAGGTCTCCCCTGAACCTCCTCTTCTCCAGGCTAAATAACCCCAGTTCCTTCAGTTGTTCGTCACAGGACTTGTGCTCTAGAGCTGTCACCAGCTCTGTTGCCCTTCTCTGGACATGCTCCAGCACCTCAGTGTCTTTCTTGTAGTGAGGGGCCCAAAACTGAAGATGGGATTCAAGATCCAGCCTCACCAATGCCGCGTACAGGGGGACAATCACTTCCCTACTCCTGGTGGCCACACTGTCCCTGATACAAGCCAGCGGGCCATTGGCCTTCTTGGCCACCTGGGCACACTGCTGGCTCATATTCAGCTGACTGCCAACCAACACCCCCAGGTCCTTTTTTGATGGGCAGCTTTCCAGCCTCTCTTCCATAAGCCTGTAGCATTGTAGGGGGTGGTGGTGGCCCAAGTGCAGGACCCTGCACTTGGCCTTGGTAAACCACATACAGTTGGCCTTGGCCCATCGATCCAGCCTGTCCAGATCCCTCTGTAGAGCCTTTCTTCTCTCAAGCAGATCAACACTCCCGAACAACTAGGTGTCATCTGCAAACTTACTGAGGGTGCATTCGATCCCCTCATCTGGATTATTGATAAAGATATTAAACAGAACTGGCTCCTGTACTGAGCCCTGGGGAACACCATTTGTGATGGGCTGCCAACTGGATATCATTCCCTAGTTAACTTCATGAGGAGTGTGCCCACCCAAGCTATGAGCAGATAGTTTCTCCAAGAGAATACTGTGAGAAATAGTGCGAAAGACTTTACTGAAGTCTAGGTAGACAACACTCACAGCCTTTCCCTCATCCACTAAGTAAGTTACCTTGTCATAGAAAGAGAACAGGTTAGTCAAGCAGGACCTGCCTTTCATAAACCCAAACTGACTGAGCCTGATCACCTGGCTCTGTATGTGCCGTGAGATGACACTCAAGACTGACAGGCCTGTAGCTCCTCAGAGCCTCCTTCCATCCCTTCTTGTAGATGGGTGTCACACTGACTAACCGCCAGTTAACTGGGACCTCCCTCGTTAGCCAGGGCTGCTGATAGGTGGTGGAAAGTGGCTTAGTGCGCACTTCCACTAGCTCCCACAGCACACTTGGGTGGATCCCATCTGGTCCCATAGACCTGTGTGTGTCTAAGTCATATAGCAGGTTGCTAACCATAGCCCCTTGGATTTTGGGAGCTTCGTTTTGCTCCCCTTCCTCATCTTACAGCTCAGGGGGCTGGGTACCTGGAGAACAACCAGTCTTGCTCTTAAACACTGAGGTAAAGAAGGCATTAAGTACCTCAGACTTCTCCTCATCCTTCCTCATTATGCTTCCCTTTGCATCCATGAAAGGATGGAGATTTTCCTTACTCCTCCTTTTGTTGCTAATGTCTTTATAGAAACTTTTTTTAGTTGTGTTTTACAGCTATAGCCAGATAAATTTCTACTTGAGCTTTGGCCCTTTTAACTTTCTCCATGCATAACCTCATGAAATCCTAGCTGTCCTCTTGAGTTGCCTACCTCATCTTTCTTAAATAAAGTCATAAATCCTCCTTTTTTGCCCCCGAGTTCCAGCCAAAGCTCACTGTTCAGCCAGGCCGGTCTTCTTCCTCACCATCTTGTCTTCCTGCACAGGGGCACAGCCTGCTCCTGCACCTTTGAGACTTCTTTCTTGAAGAATCTTCATCCTTCTTGGACTTTAGGTCTACCTCCTCAGGGATGCTGTCAACCAGACCCCTAAACAGACCAAAGTCAGCCCTCTGGAAGTCCAAGGAGTCAGTTTTGCTGACAGCTCTCCTTACTTCTCTGAGAATCAAAAGCCCTATCATAATTTCATGATTGCTATGAGAATGCTTTTAAAAAACATAGAATCACAGAACAGTTTGGGTTGGAAGGGACCTTAAATATCACCTAGTTCCAACCCCCCTGCCATGGGAAGGGACACCTTCCACTAGACCAGGTTGCTCAAAGCCTCATCCAGCCTGCATGAGTAGTAAATATGAAAATCTGTTTGGTCTGTGGAGATTTGTTAAAAGGATTTTGAAAAGTCAGCCTGAGATGATACACATGCAGTTAATAAGACTGTGAGGGCTAACAACTGACATTCAGATAGTCTTTCCAAGTGATGGGAGATTATCCACTCCTCTGGTGCTGTGACTGAGAAAAAGGCAATTTAACAGGGCCACATATGATTCTGTATTTATACTTGTTGAACATGACATTTTTATTATTACTCTGTTTTGTTCTGTAAAACAATTTTTTGTAGAACAATACTTAAGTTTAACAGATAGTGCTCAAGGATGGGTAACGAAACCATTAACAGCAAAAAAACACTAAGATGCAATACCTCCTGATGAAGAGGTACAAAAATAACATTTGTACAAAAATAACATTTACTGAAGTAGCATCACAGTGCATGGTATTGGAGTGTTCAGCTCTTCATACCCAACCTTGCAAATGGCACCAATGCAACTAGCTGGTTTTGTTGCGAACTTCTTTATACCATTGAAAGGTGGCTCAGCCAATGGCTCAATCAGTTATGGACAATTTTGATAAGTTGATGCACAGTTCATAGAAGCATAGAATGGTTTGTGTTGTAAGGGACCTTAAAGATCATCTAGTTCTAGTTCTATACATGAACTATATAACATAAGCTGTATGATCCCTATATAGTGATTGACAAAGGATTTAACAAAAGTATTTTTCCCTGTAAGATAAATAGTTTCTCCCAATAGGAGATTCCTTTTTTACTTACCTCTCGTCAGGTAATACACTTTTCTGAGAACTTCAATGACGACTTCATCAGTAAAAGAATAGATATACATATTGCTTTATTTTCTAGCAAGTTGCATCGAAACTGGGAGAAGGTTATCTGACTTTACAGGTCAATAGCCTCTGTTTTCATCCTTGGGTGCACCTTTAAGATCCCCTGTAGTTGTTCTTTTTACATATTTTAGAAGATAGTCCCTGGGTGATGGTTTTTCAGATTTGTTTTCTGATGACTGCAGAATATGTTGCAGAGTCTTGTTACAGGATCATTGAAAAATCATTCTGCACAGCAGTGAGTCGCTAAAAAAAGAATGCATACACATGTAATACATTTTCAGTTACCTAGTATTAATACCTATCTAATTACTTGTTAACATCTGCCTAATTACAGCAATGCTATTAGTATAGGATGTAATTCTGTTCTTTTCAGGCTGAAATATGGTCAAGCTTGTACTGTAGCCTTGCTTCAAGTACCATGTAATGTTTTCTTTCTGAAAGGCCTATGCTAAGAAGGCAGCACTAAAAGGTGGTTTGGATAAGACTGTGAGTCTCAGGAAGGATTTGTCAGAAATGCATGAATGGATAACACAAGCCGAAGAAGAATATCTGGAAAGAGATTTTGAGTATAAAACACCAGATGAACTACAGACAGCTGTTGAGGAACTGAAGGTAAAAGATGAACTAATTCTTTGAAATGTGTTTAAAATTCTTTTTGAAGTTTTCATTGTAAAGAAAGTCTACTCTTAAATTGAGAACACCTTGCTAGCCATAAATTTTTAAAAGTTACCTTAAGGTAACCTCTATTTGGATTATGCTGGAATATATTTAATCTTTCACAATACTGCATTGCTTTTTTTGTCTTTTCTCTATCGAATACTTGATTTTGATGCAGCTTCAACATTTTTACTTAGGGAATAATTCCTAAGAACCAGATGTTAGCAAGAGTTAACTGATAAGAGTTTTGTGTCTTCTTTTTATATTAGAGAGAAAAAAGAAATTAGTACTTCCGGATGCATGTTGACATTTAACAAGCATGCGTATTTTATTTCTTCAATTTAGTAATAGTATATTTTTGTCTCAAGGCAATAATATTTCTTTCACGTGGGATAAATATGGCCTTTGGACAAAACCTGCTAATTTGTGATACTCAAATATGCTGTTGCTCATGCTCAAATATAATGTTACTCAGACACTGGATATGGGCTTTTTTTTTTTTTTATTTCATAGGTGCGTTATGTAGCCTGTGCTGTTCAGGAAGTCAGATTATATGGTTTTAACAATCTATCCAATACTTTGGTCACAAACTCTTCATTGTGCATAGGGTTTTGCCAGTGTTTGAGATTATCTAACCATACAACTGATGATCTCTTAATTTACTGACAGAAATGAGTTGATGCTAGTCAGAATATTCAAAATATATGGAAATATATGGAACAATATCAATTCATTGTAAATGAGACAAATATATCAAAAGTAAACATTTGCTCAAGAGATACAGTTCTTTTTTAGTAATTAAATAACAAAATTCAAATTTATAAATTGCCATGTGTAATGAAATTGGTTAAATGTACAGTTTTAGACAACGCCAATGGATTTCCTGGTGAATATTCTGTACTTCCAGCTGAAGTACAGGGATATTCAAACCGTGACACATCAGCCTATGCAGATAACCATATAATTTGTCATGCATCCCTTCACCTGCTTCTGATGATCCTTTTCCCCGAAGGCTTGCAGCCACCTCTCTGGTCACACAACAGGATATTCTGGACCAGAACAACTCTCTTTATCCTGCAGGCCATTTCTTCCTACGTCTAGGAAAGAATAAAGCCCAGAGCAACCTAGTAAGCTTTCTCTGGTAATGACAGCCTGATCCCAATTATTCTGGTTCATGGGAGAGAAAGAAGGTTATTGGGAACAAAGTTTCATTTTATTGTCTTCAGGCTAGGAAGTTCTCATCTCAATTCCTGTGAAGACCAGTACACACTGATGACATTTATGTATAACTTCACTCGGTTTTTAGTAGCGGTATGACTGCAGTCATAGACACCATCCCATTGTAAGCTGTCAGAGGAAACACTGCTAGGTATGACAATCTTATATCTTATTATTAAGATGGCATAACAAAGGGGAGAGTAACAAAAAGTGGAGGGAAAAAGTTGGGAATTGGATTGATCAGTTGTGCTTATAGGCTAAAATGGGGAAAAGGTGGCAGGTTGTTTAGTAACATGCAATTTGTTAATTTTTGGGTTTAATTCACCCTCTATTTGTGGTTCTGTGTTCCTCAGAACATTTTTTCCTCTGTCTGTCCTCTGCTAAACTTCTCTGCTGAAGGTTCAAACACAGGAAGTGCTGCTTGGGTGAATGTTTCCTTTTCACTTTGTCCTCTCTTCATGCTAGGTTAATGTTCACTGGTGGTGAATAATGACACTGATTTTTCTGTCTGTAAGGTGAGAGCATGGAATTGACATTAATGCTCTGATAAAATTGTAAAGTATACACTGGAGAAAAATTATTTTCCTTTCCTTGACCCTGTTCTTAACTTGAATTTAAAGAGTAATTGAGAAAATAAATCTGAAATATGTTTTGCTGTCTTGCTGCTTGTCATTGTACCTTTAAACCTGAGTACATGAATTTGTAACAGTACAGATTTTTATTTTTGTCATTTATGGTTCATGAGGTATTATGGCAAAGATATTTGGAGCATTTTTTGGGGGAAAAAAAAATACCCCAACCAACCAACCAAAAAAAGCCAAAACCCAAAAAATTGAAAGGTTTTATTATTCTGAGAGCTCCAGAAAACTAAAGAGTTGTGAGGAGATGTTAAATTGTATTGAGCATCTTGTATTGGTAACAAAATGAAAAGAAAAATTTTTGTATGCATTCAAGGTTATGTCAAAAAGTCTGGGAATGAAATGGCTTGTGAGTTTTTCTTGTTGTGGGGTGGTTGTTTTTCTTTTTGTGTCTAACGGAATTCTGTCACAGAGAATTCTAACAGAATTATTAGAAATCAGTTTCCTTCTTAAACCAGGACAACTTTTTTTTTTTTTTTTTCCCAGAGAGCAAAGGAGGAAGCCATGCAGAAAGAAGTTAAAGTGAAGCTTATTACTGATTCTGTGAATAATTTTATAGCAAAGGCTCCACCTGCATCTCATGAGGCTTTGAAAAAAGAACTTGATGTTCTAATCACCAGCTACCAGCGTCTCTGCAGCAGACTGAATGGAAAGTGCAAAACTTTGGAGGTTGGGTATCTTGTCAGTCATTGTATTTATAGCCCTTCTAACTGCAGAAGTAAAGTAGAGAGGGAAGATGTATTATCATATGGGATCATAAGTAGCCCAAGGCTGTCCTCCCTTTATGAGCCTTATACCCAATACCATATAGTATGAGCTGTTTACCTAAATGTGCTGAGAAACATATATGCTGGAGAGTTAAAAGAAAAGCCTAAGGCATGGCCCTTAAGTGGGAGACAGCAATGGCTGCTCAGGGTTCTTATCCTTTTTGAGATTAAGCCAAGCATCTGGCTTCTGCGGCAACCCCGTGACGTTGTCTTCACCAGCTCCTCTAGGCTTTTTTCTTCCATTGCGAAGGATTTTGATTAAATGGCCCTGAAGCTGGACAGGTGGTGTTATCTCAGCTTGGGAACCGCATTAGATCTGCTGGCAAGCTGAATATGCCTCATGCATTTTGAGTTGACCCTGCAATTTTGGCCAGCACCATTACAAGTTCTTGTCATAGGACTATTTGTATATTATACAGTGGTCACAGTGAATTAGGTATGATTTTTTGTTGTGAAGTAATTTGCAATAGCTAACTTCACACAGGACAATTATATATCTGGTTAAAATTTATGTTCTCTAACTCCCGCTGGGGAAAATTTTGTGTGCAGTCTAAACTGGTAAGCTATATTTCCCCTGATCATGGATGTCATTGTATTGTGGTGATACCCCTTTATAACATCTTCCTTATACCAGACACATATGATATGACCAGAGTTAGGTGAGATGAATCTCACTGCAAGAAACTGGATCTACAAACAGCCTAATCCATCCTAATAAAACTATTTTAACTTTCACTACCAAAAAAGGAACAATAAAAAGATGGTTTATTGTCATTTAAGTGTTTTTCTTGTGTATAAAGTGCCATTTTTATTGGCTTATTTAGGTATCTTCAGTCACTGTAAAAATAAAATATTAGACAATAAATTATTTCTGTGAGAATAAGAACCTAATTTCATTTTACAACATTATGTGTAGTACTCTAGCACTTAAGTGGTCTATAAATTGTGCTAAATGTGGTTTAGAATTAATTTCCTTAGAGATTTCACTCAGAATTCTTGAAATCTGTATTTTTAGACATTTTATGAATCTGTGCTTTTTTCTGTAATTAATATACAGAATATATAATCAATCTACCTACATCTTGTAATAAAGACATAAACTTCTAACGTGGAACTTTAAAAATTCTCATAATTTATATATTTATATATTACAAGAAAATTTTACAGAGAAGTATATAAAGTGGATAATTCATGAGACTGAAGATTCAAGTTTGGCAAGCATCCACTTTTTTATGGTATCTTATGTAGTTTTATTCCAATTAACATGTTTGGGTTGTGGTTTGTTTTGTTTTGTTTTTTTTTTTTAAACATATAAATACCGGGAAAACAATCAACTCTGTGGCACCATAACCATGTAATATGAAACAGTTAGCTGTGAGATTGTCAATCTCAAACATTTTTTTTTTTCTCCGTCAGGAGGTATGGGCATGTTGGCATGAATTATTGTCATATTTGGATGCAGAAAATAAATGGTTAAATGAGATTGAACTGAAACTCAAGGCAACTGAAAATATCCAGGGAGGTGCAGAAGAGATTTCTGAGTCTCTGGATGTAAGTGCTGACTTAAATAACATCAAATCACATGTATTGATGAATTGTAAATCACATTACATTCAAAACTAACTATGAATCATCATTACACATGAGCAAGATGTAGAAGAGTGAGAAGTCCTATGTTCTCAGTTGATTCAACAAATGAGGTTTTAATTGGAAACCACCTAAGAGAAACAGAGTAATTAAGTGTATTGTGCCTGATATCATAGGCATTTTTTGGGGACAGTAACATACATGTTCTTAAAAAATACGGCCCTCACTTAAGCTATTCAAAAACTGTTGAAGGCTTCTGTGAGAGCAAGCTTTCAGGATAGCACTGCAACTCTATTTATTATTACTTAATTCATGGAACCTTTCAAATTTGTAGAAATTAAGTTAATTCTCTCAATAGATTAAAATACAAAATGTTACATTGATAACACAGTTTTGCTGTTAAACTTCATCCATTCAGGTGCTCAAGAATTTTTTTTATTTTTAAGTACACAAATACTCCTACTGAACTCATTGGGTAAAGTCCATGTTTTTAAAATCAAGCATACAGTTTATTGCTTTGTGAAAAAAAATTCTTTGTTTAGGTAATAAGTAGTACATAACATTTGTTGTCAAGGCATGAGACAGATATTTTCTTCTCTCCTATTGTTTATGAAATGTGAAGTTTCTTACATTTTTAGGTGAAATTGTGATTGCTCTATAGAATATTTGCAGAAAGGAAAACAAACAACTTTTTTGACCTTGTTTCAGTCTTTGGAACGTTTAATGAGACATCCAGAAGATAATCGCAGTCAGATTCGAGAATTGGCTCAGACTTTAACTGATGGTGGAATCATGGATGAATTGATCAATGAGAAGCTTGAGAAGTTCAATACTCGATGGGAAGAACTTCAGACGGAGGTATATTTAATAACTGACCTGTCCTCATATTAAGTATCTGATAGTCCAGCACCACTTAAAATAAATAAATAAATAGATTTAGTTTGGTTTCTAAACATTATACAAACAAAGACTCATTTTAGAGGTGGACGGTTTACATAGGTGTGGTGGACACAAGCCCCACTCCCTCTCCCCCTTCTATTGTTGAACACAACTCTGTGTGGTACAGGATAGCTCTATGGTCAGTTCAGGTCAGCTCTTCTGGTTGTGTCCCTTCCCAGCCTCTTGCCCACCCCCAGCCTACTCTCTGGGAGGGGCAGAGTGAGAAAGGGAAGCCCTTGGTTCTGTGCAAGCCCAGCTCAGCGATAGCTAAATCTTCCCTGTGTTATCAACACTGTTTTGGTCACCAATCTAAAACTCACCACCATATGGGCTTCTGTGAAAAAAATTAACTCCATGCCAGCCAAAACCAGTATAATAGGTAACCGTAAAATTCCGAAATTGCAGCAACCATCTAGTGGATTTAATCTTCAATTGCATATTTAGAGATGCTTTCTCTGGCAAAAACACGTTGTGCAGCAATATGCTACATTAGCATTCTTTGCCACAAACCCTATGAAGAAAATTTTAATAATTCTTTGACATACCCTGCTAGCGGGGCAGTATACATTTTTGCTGATAAATCAATTCAAAACTGTGATGCTTGTGTATGAATACTTGCTTTTAATACTAGGAGTTTATTTAACAGATGTTTGTGTGCATACTAATTGGAACAGGTGGCCCAGAGATGTTGTGGATGCCCCATCCCTGGAAGTGTTCAAGGCCAGGCTGGATGTGGCTTTGAGCAACCTGGTCTAGTGGAAGGTGTCCCTGCCCATGGCAGGGGGGTTGACTAGATGGTCTTGAAGGTCCCTTCCAACCCAAACCATTCCATGATTCTATGATTCTATGAATTGTGTGTGTATGTCTGTAATGGCAAGACCAAACAGAACAACCTTTAAGGAGAGAGTAACAAGGTAGTTAAATTACAAAAGTATTGAGTGCAAATACATGAAGAGTAATACTCGTGGAGGACTTCTGACTTCATATACAAAATTCTGACTTTTGACATGACTGTTACTGTTCAGAAGGAAGATTTTAAAGTTATAAAGAGAAATAATCAGGAAGATGTCAGCTCAGTACTTGGTAAACTTCAGGAATTTTTTGGAAAGACCTAGTGAAAGACACAGACTTTATGATTGGAACCAGAACAGGTTCAAAGATTAGCTACAAAACTACTCAGAAGTTAATTAGTTTCCATGACATAAATGATGCACAAATAAAGACTTTTGGAAAGCAGCTGTGTTAAAATTATAACAATCTACCACAACAATGATAACATTTTTGCTTCTTTCATGGTGCTTGAAAAGTACTTGTCCTTGAACACAATGGAAGTAAAAACACTGCCATAAAACTTAAGGAAGGATCTTCAGCTGTTCTGATCTTCTCTTGAAGTATGGAGAGGGAAAAGCCTGTTTCTCTCTACTACCTACCTGGTGGTAGTTCTGGTGCAGTACATAGTCTCACATGGCTGGACAATGTCATAACAGAAACTTAAACACAGCCTGCTGTATACATGGTTTGGGTTTTATTTTGTTGTTTGGTTTGTGGGTTTTCTTAGTTTTGTTTTGTTTTTTTGTTTTAACATCCAACTTCTGTTTGAAAGCAGATACATCCCCTGAAATTCTGCTTCTTGATGTTGGTTGGCTTTTTTTCCTGACTTGAAGGAGAAAACTGGGAATATATAAAGGCTTCCAGTGAGCGAAAACAGGTCTTTCAAATTGTCTTGCTGAGTGATGAATAAATACTATTATAAATACTACTCAGTCTTTTTAATAATAGGCATTAAATCAAAATCATGCCAGCTGCAGGGTTAGATGTAGAAAGTACAATGTGAAGATGTGTGAAATTCTGGAGACAATTTGAATGAGTATATAAGGAAAAGATATTAGAAATTTATTTACTGCATTCCAACTTAATTTAAATAAAGATAAAAAGCAAGGGGAGAAACCTTTCCCTCCCCCCTTCTTTAAAAAGTCGATCTGATATTTGGTAGACAAATACTAATGGCGAGACCTGTATATGAATATGAGTGCTATAAAGAAACTATTTCAAATGCAAGCGACTCAGTCACACCCCTTCTTTACTGTATGTTTTCTACAACAAAATGTTTTATTAATTTTTCCACTGAAGTCTGAACACTTTTTTTCATAGGTTCCTGACACTGAATTTTCTGTGTTGTTTGTGCAGCCCTGTTGAAATCCAAACAGCACACACTCTCCTTGCATAAAAATACATTGCAGGCACATAACATAATGCAGCTTGTATTCAAGGTCATTTCTACTTCAGACAAATAGGCTGTCCTAATGTGGCTAAGTTATTTATTTTTATTTGAATAATTGTGAAGGTAATTACCGAGGTAAAAAGCTAATGTGGGCAGAAACTGATATGTGAAATATTTATTCACTACTAATAGAGAAACCAAACCAAACCACTGCCATATGAATCATGTTGCAAGACAATACAACATTGCTACTGAGATAGAGATTCATTTCTAAAGGCAGATAATGGCTTTATGTTTGTATGCCTTATCTTCTTCAGTTAACAAAGACTGATTGTTTTTAGTTTGCTTTTGAACATCTGTGGCTGATCGATAAGCGACATATACCCTATCTGTACTTTTCAAGGACTGATTCACTTACAACTCTATATATTGCATCTAAAAAACAGTTGCCTGAAGAACTTCCAGCTAATAATGCAAGTGGCTATCATCCCCTGTAATGCTTAAAGGGATTTAGATCATGTCCAGCAAACTTCAAAAGTGTCAGACAGATATTCTTGAGACTTGCAAAAAACTGTGTAAAACATTATTGTTCAGGTGGACTTTACACTAGATTAAATTTTACTCTTGGGGACTGTTTTTTAATGTCTTTTAGGAGTCCCCTCAAGAGCACACACTCACCATTTGACAAAATTTTTTTTGTTTTGCTGTCCTCTCAAGAGGAGAAAGAATTCTTCATGCCCCATCTCCACGTAATTGCTTTGAAGACTGCTAAGAGGGTTGCTTTTCCAAATTCAGAGGCACTATCTATCTGCAGTGATAACCTAAAGAGATAAAGTCCTCCTTGGTATAGTCTGCAGTTTTGGAATAAAGTTGATCAAAGATGAATACCACTTTATGGCTGAAAGGTCGAATATTTCTAGTCACTTAAACACTCTGAATTTTTACTAGAATTTTCAAAATAATTAGGTTTAGCTTGGAGAGTATTAAAAATTCCTGGACTCAAAATTAATGCTTTCACTGTTAGAAAAGGTGCTTCTAGTTTAAGTGTAAACACTAATCCACTCTGATTCCAAACAAAAAGCGGAGATTAACACATTATCAATTTGATGCAAAACATACCAAGATGATGTAATGTATCTCAGACACAACCATTACAACAACAAGAATTAGTTTAAATTTTAAAGTAATTTAAACAAGTTAAGAAGGAATTTTAAAATTAAATTTTTCTAACTTTTAACTTTTTAATGTATTAAAATGTGGTAACGTTTCTTAATAATTAGAGAGTACAGCTGAGCCAAAAAAAAAGAGAGAACATATTTTTGCCTGTTTAAACAGACCCTTTTCCATGAGCTGGAACTTAAAGCTAATTAATGGATTTGTGTCTGCATCTTCAATAAATATACCCTGTATTAGAAGTACTATAATTTTCAAAAGGTTTTGTTCTCTTTTTCTTCCACGGTACAACTACTGGGTACTGCCTTGATAACAGAACTCTTCTTGTTTTTAACCATAGAACTCTAACCAACATCTTAGTAACTGCATATGTGACTAATGTCATTGAATACATGATATGTATTATATAAGGAAAAAGTGGCAATATCTATAAATATATTTTTATTACATTTAACATCAAAGAATAACCTATAGTCAGAAGCAACTGTTTGAGCACCTCCAGCTTTCCTGATATCCAATCAACTCTAAGTGCAGCCTTTCCCTTAATATGGCAGTTTATATGGATAATACGCAGTGTTACCATTCCCGGCATTTACTGTTGATCTTTGTTAAATTGTAAACAGATTTATGCAATTCCCCGTATCATAAAAAATAAATGTTATGCTTAATCATAATAAGTAACTAAAAATCTATAAAGACCTGAGGAGACTTTAATAGAAAACTCAGCCCATAAATATGTTTCTTTCTCTTTCATTCTGATGGTGCCTAACAGCAGATATTTTTTTGTTTTTATTTTCCTTGACAGCTGTCAACATTTCACTGGCTCAGAAATAATTAAACAGTTGGTTATTTTCCTGAGCTTTTCTATTTAGCAATTAACTGTCAGACACTTCCCTTTAGAGACAGAAGCCTTCAGCTTTATTGACTATGATCTGATAGCAGAGCTAGAGCTTCCTGTTATGTCCTCAAACCCATTTATATACTGCAAAGTTAAACCATCTATTGCTTGACTTGGGAGCATATGGAGTCTGCTCCCAATAAGCAATACAAGCAAAAAAATTAAAGCATCATGCATTTATATCTGAGAAAATCATTACACCTCTGAAGGAGCCATTTCCAAGCATTCAGCTGTGTGGTTCTGCTCCCACTGTCAAAATAATTCCTCTCTTGTATCACTGCATTCACATTTTGCTCTGATGTCATCTGTTCATTCATCTAAACAATTTTTGGAAAAGTTGTACTTTAACCTCATTTGGAAGATACAAAATGTCGCACAGGTTCTCAGGCTGTAATCAAATTCTCTGTGAGGTCAATGAAAGGGGAACATTGTGTGTGTGTGTGTATATACTTTGTGTGCACACAAATATATCACAAGCGTCCATATATATTTATCTGATTTGTTTGAAATCCAGCCATAAAAATTCAGTCAAACTCAGGCACGGATTCATTGTAATTCTTTCTTAACTTTATCTGGTTTAATAATGATCAATGAGTTTGACAGTGGTTTAATTTTTCCAGCTGTATTCTGAAAGGGTATTTTGATATACGTAGTTTCTGCTGATAACAGCACAGATATGATGATTTTTCAGTCACCACATATTTTCATACAATTTAAAGACTTTGTGAGTTTTCATGCAGTAATAACTACTTCATTGGATGCACGCAGACTGCTCCTGAGTCTGGCAGCAAATTTATGTGGACTTGAGCAAATGTTTAGCTGCAAATAGTAGTTAAAGGCTGCTAGAACTGGGCCTGTTCAGCCTGGAGAAGAAAAGGCTCTGGGGATACCTTATTACACCTTCCAGTACCTGAAGGGTCCTACAAGGAAACTGGGAGGGGACTTTTTACAAGGGTCTGTAGTGACAAGACAAGGGGTAACGGGTTTAAATTGAAAGTGGGGAAGTTTAGATTGGATATCAGGAAGAAGTTCTTTATGGAGAAGGTGGTGAAGCACTACAACGGGTTGCCCAGAGAAGCTGTGAATGCCCCATCCCTGGAAGTGTTCAAGGCCAGGCTGGATGAGGCTTTGAGCAACCTGGTCTAGTGGAAGGTGTCCTTGCCCATGGCAGGGGGGTTGGAGTTTGATGATCTTTAAGGTCCCTTCCAACCCAAATGATTCTATGATTCTATAATGGGTCAGCATTTAACAAAGGTTCAAAGCTTCAAGTATTGCTATAAAACTATTTTTTTTTTTTAAGAAGGGCTTAGCACCAAATTTGTGTCCAGTATACTGAATTCTTCAGAAAGTGCAGGTGCTTATTTTAATGACTAATGGGAATGGAACTTTCTCAGCATCTTATTTTAAATGGTGAACTTTTCTGAACAGCAGGACACTGCAGCCCTCTGTAAGAACGGAACATGCACGTAGGTTAGTCCTACATGTTTTCCGAAGTGATCAGTAAAGGTAGAGATTTTCTTGCATGCTTCCAGGAGGATGAACTTACCCATGGGCTACTTACAGGGTAAGAAAGCTACTTGTTCTGTTTCTGTCTAATGTATCTTTCAATCCACTGTACTGTGATGGAAATGGAAAGGTAGAGAGTGACTGTATCTTCCCCAGGCTTACAAATTAGTAGTAATGAGTGCCAAGGTAAATGGAAGCTGTGGGTTTTAACCCTATTGCTTTGAACAGGCTGAGAACATTGTAATACAAAGTCTCAGATCAGATGAAGATAAAAGTCATTTAAGTAGCAGGCCTTACTACTGTACTGTGACGTTACACTGTTTTAATGCTTCATTTGATAAGGTAATAGCACCTTAGTGGCTCAGGTGCCTCCATTAACACTGACAGCGTGGGTCTGGTATGTAAAGCTGCTCGGTTCCACAGGAGGTTCCAGGAACTGACAGTCATACAGATTATCTGATCAGCTGTTTTGAAATAGTACAAAGCAGCTTACAACCACAAATATAGTAAATGCTGGCTGGATCCCTATTCTTTAACTACGTCAAAGAGCTAGCAAGAATGCTCACATTTGTTGAATGTGAAGCTGTATAAAAATCTGAGCTCCATGAAAGAGGTACAGATATATCAATGTCTCTCAGTGAATTGCCGAGAGACATTTTTGTTTACGGCACGAGTTTTGTAATAGGTATGAAATCAAATTAAAATATAGCTGGCTCACCAAAGAGAAAAAGTGTGATTTGACTTGAAAAATGGCAGGACACCTAGCAATGTTACTTAAAGAGCGCTTGATTTCTCCTTCCTCCTTGAGCCATGTGAAAGAAAGTTAGTCATTTTATTCTGTGGTGAACAATATGGCTGGACTTGTGCAAAGAAAAACTATTGCATTTGAGATTGTTAATTATTATGTGCTTTCTATAAAGCAGAAACTCTGCTAGGCAGAAGCTAAAGTCTAAGAGAAATATGAGTCTGCAGGTGGACACCAGGACCAATGGAAGAAAGTACCAGATTATTTATTACAAGATAAATACTATATTAAACTGTTACAAGTAATACTTAAGGCTAACCTGTTTATGTCAAGTGTTCAATTATACATGTGCTTAAAGGACAACTTTGAAGGAGAATTTATTGTTCTGATTTGGTAAAACATAAAGTGAGGTTCTTTGAAAGGAAAGCATCCTCCAAAAAAAGGATTGTGTAAAAGGTAACGGTAGGCAATCCATTGTGGCACCTGTGGTCAACTTCCTAGGCTAAAAGAGACTACAGTTAGAGTGATAATAGATTGGGACAGTCCACAGACAAGACAAGGATCCATCTCTTTTTTTCCAGATTAGGCATTGCCTCTGTTCCAGACAGCTATTTACACTTCATATATGAGAGATCCTTCTCAAGTGTCTTTATCCCTCTCACTTACTGAAGTGGATTGTCTCAGATGGGATTGTGATGACAGTAACCCCATTCTCAGTAAACAAAATCTCTTGAATTACATAATAAGATCAGGAGGACCGCTATGCATCAGAATGAAGGACTGTGCTATCGGGATGGTTTTATTATGCAGCTTTGTCAACTTTCACTCTGTATAGAAATCCTCAATGCATGCATTGGTTTTTCAGGGTCCTACTTTTTTTAGAACCTGTCTATGCCATCTGTTTGTTTGCTTCTTACTAAAAAGAACTGAATGAATGGCAGAAAGATGCGCAACTTATCATACAAAAAGGTGGATGAGCAAAAGTCAGGAGTACTATTTTTGATTCTTAGCATTCATTTTTCAAGAAAAAATATGTGAGGAAAAATGTATGCATGCACAGTGCATTATTACTGTGAATATTGATAACATTGTCATTGTTTTTAGGCCGTGAGAAGACAAAAGAGCCTTGAACAGAGTATTCAATCTGCCCAGGAGACTGACAAAACCCTCCGCTTAATCCAAGAATCTCTGGCTGTTATTGACAAACAGCTAACAACCTACGTTGCAGACAGAGTTGATGCAGCACAGGTCCCTCAGGAAGCACAGGTAAGTTATATACAGGTTGAACTGATGTACTTAGTGGATTTCTCAATCAGTCAAAGAGTGTTTGGCTGTCCCTCAGCCTCATATTAATATCCAGGATTTGCAGCATTGTCAGTATGAAAGTGCAAGTAAATTTTAGGTAAGATTACTTTCAGAACTTCAAGCTAATCTTGTAGTAAATCTTTCCAATTTATATTATATACCTGTCCAGAAGATGTAAAGAATGATAACTGTCATGGAAGATTCTGCGGTAATTTTAAAACAACTAAGATAAACAATGTGACTCTTTACAATCTAGTTTCCATCCTAGAAAGAACAAACTCATTAATCTTATATGACTGTGTTATAAAGTTGATTACATGGCCTATGGATTGTTACTAGATTATTGAAACATAGAACATTGTTAATTATTTCATGATGTGCACATAAATGTACTTCCCTTTCAGTTTTTGCAGTTTTTTGCATGTAAGTTAAACAGAAAGGCATTTTCCCATACCTTAAAAATGGTTTATTGACTCTTTGAAATAAAAATGTATATTAAATTCTCATTTTTACACTTTCAATCTTTCTTCTAGACTGTATGTTTTAATTCAGCATTAAAATGGTAAAAAATACAAATGAAATAAACCCAAACGTATCTGTTATTTAATTATTAATACTTTACAATATTATGAACAGCAACTTTTCTATAAATTCCACCTAAATTTATGAGGTCAGATTACAAAACTAAATGAAGAAACACACACACATGCAAATTGAAAGCAAATGCTTTATAACTATTTTAAAAGCAGCACTCAGTGTTGTTTTTTTCTGGTATGACTGTAGAGTTTTAAATCATCTGAAGAACTGGTGTCTTCTGCAGAGTAGCTTAGATGATCTTAAATATATTCAGAGCCCTGAGAATCGTGTTTTCTCTCCTTTGAAAAATAAAGGCTTCCATATCTTTTGAAATAAAATGTAGATAGATACACCTTTTAGTTGCTTTTCTAGAGTTTGTGTGTAGGTACACAGATATTTTTGCATGTGTGTATGAATTAAAAAAGCTAAATTTAGAAATCAGTATTGTATTTACATCCAGTCCTATTTTTAAGGTCGATTCTAAATTGCTTCCAACCTACACTGGTTTAAGAATAGGATCAGACTCAGGCGAATGATTGTTTCCATTGGAATTCTAAGCTCTTAGCAATCAGTTTGACTCTCTTAATTTTTTTTTTCCTTCCTTGATATATGAATAATGTAAAGTGGGGTTTTTTTAATGAAATAACATACTCATTAGCATTTGTTAAAGGTTTGTTAAAGATCTCTTTAATATCTCATCCTGTAATTATACAACTCCAATATATAAGAAAAATTTCATGTGAAAATGTGCTTTTTTTCTGATGTATTTGGACCCTTACATTGTAGGAATTTTCAGTGATACTTCATATATCCTGAGGATGCTTCTGCTTTATGAGTGTCCTCAGGTACGATATTGGCAATGATCAGAGAATGCGTAAAAGGAAGCAATTTAGAACTTCAGCAACTGAAGCAGCATAAAACTCAACCACTCTTAATTAGCACACTTTCATAGGAAAATTTCAGCTCCATGCTTTTGCAGAATTTGTTTTTGTTCTTGAGATTTTGTTGGCTGATGTCAAGTTCACCCGATTATACTGTATCTGCTGTGGGAAAACCGGCATAGTGGCTGCTGTTTTTCCTTTTCATGTTTTTATTTTAAGATGCCAGTGGGATCTAGTGAAAAATACTTAATTAACAATTAAACAGATTTAATGCAAATATTGAAGTTCTCTGAAGTTGGGTTGTGAAGTTCTTTAAAATCCCTAGGGGGAAAGGGAATAAACAATCAATTTTATGTATGTAAAGATACTGAGTCATTCCTTTAGTGAAAGGCCATGCCAACCAGTGGCAGAATAGGCACATAGTGAATGGCTGCATCTCCAGCGGAGCCCCTGCTGACAAAGCTCTTTTGTAGAGCTGGAAACAGTTCATTCATTCAAGATACTCTACAATAGTGTCTGCACAGCTGGAATGGGAATCTTTCAGTCAGTGATGTTGGTTTCTGGGCAGGGGTCAGTTTATCCATGCTGAGGCATTTAGCAAAATGTATGTGATGCATTTCTAAAAGAACATATGGGAGAATTTATAATCAGAAAGCTGTTGAGGGTTTGGGAGCTCTCTGTGTTTGCTTCTAAAATTCAAATCCATTTAGACCTTTGATAGCAGGAGTAATGTTTGGTTCAGCTGACTGGAAATGAATCCGAGAAAAAAAATTATATTCCGCTTCTCTTTTTAAATTAAATTATTAGTTTAGTTTATTCAAAAAGTTGACAGAAAGGGGAGTTAAGTATGTGCTGTTCAATTGCTCCTTTGGAACATTTTTTGAACATAAATTCTGTGTGCTTCTTACTCCACCATGTGGCACTGAGAATTTAATGCTAGAGAGCCACTGCCACCCAACTCATTTTGAGTACAACTAAAGATGCTGTGTTCAGACAAAACAATCTAACAGCAACCACACAGATATATCAGTTCATATTCCTCCATGCGTAATGATAAAAAAGCTGTAATGAGGTAAAGCCTAAAACAGTATTCCGAAAGGAAAGATTATTTGTGTGTAAGCATGATCTCAGGATTCCAACTGAAGCTTCTTGCATTTCTCTAAATTTACCAAGAAAATACAGGGAGTTACGTCATCATTACAGGAATTTGCCAGTTGATGAATTTTTTGCAAATACTCTTTAACTGACATGAAAAAAAAATTCTGTACTGAAAATATTACATTATATGCCAAAATATTTTTCAGATAATTATTTGTAGCTTTGTTATTAAATAAATTCTGGTGAGAGAGAGAAACTCCACTTTGTACTTCCATTTATTCTGAGTGATTACTGGGGGGGAAGGGTGGGGTGGTGGTGGTGGTTATACTATGGGACAGAAAATAAACTTATTTCACTTCTCACCTGCATGTGACAAATCACTGGTCTGTTGTTCTCCCTGTAGAGGTATGTAAAATGCAATGCAGAGAATAAATACTACTGTGTTTCTAAGAAAAGCAAAAGTGAAATAGTTTGCCTTTTCAATAAACTCAAATAAATTTCAGTTCCGTAGTGATAAGCACTACACACCGGACTATATTCTAAGTGCAGATGGTTATTAATTTGTTTTTAAAATATTGTTGTGCTGTGTTCAAAACCAAAGTTAATGTGATGATATAATGGCAGTATTGTTCAGTTTTGCAACGTGTTACTTGACAAGAATGCCATGCTTCATTGCCTTCAGACTAATATTTTGGGAAAAAGGACTCACAATTGTCCAGTTACTAAAATGTCTAAAGTTAAAGATATTGACAGTTACTTTTCTTCTGCTGGTAACTGTGAGAACCACTTCATTCAGCCATGTGTAGATCAGAGGTCCAAGAGGGAATAGCTGATAAGCCAGTGCCACAGCCAGTCCTGAGGGGCTACCTACACCTACCTGCCATAGATTCTGCCTGTAGTTCAGTTCACCCCAGAGTGCCACTGGAAGTTTCTAGGCAGGAAAGAAATCTTGTGAGGAAAGGAACAACCCTGCAAGGTGAGAGGGAGGTATAAAAAGATCTTTTTGTTTATTGTGTATAAACCAAGAGATTCAGGTGTCCTCTCTGTAAGGAAATACCCCTCTCTAATGTGTCACCCAGTGTTTTCCATAAATCTTTGCTTTGGAATGGAAAGACTTGTGATGTCTTTCAATAAGCTTCCCATGGAGAAATTAGGATTTTCCTCTTGAGGTTTTGGCCTTTTTTTTTTTTTGGTCATATAATGAAAATAACCTTTTGGTACAGGAACAGGTTTTATAAATCAGGTTTTTGATTAGTAAATGGGAATTTAGTGAATCATTTTTCTGCAGTGTACTTTAAAGAGAGAGATAAATAATATAAAAAAGTAATAAATGTGGTTAATTCTAGAAACTTTATTTTAACTTAATCCATTTGCTGTAGCAGTGTTTCATGAACTACGATTCATTATGCTTAGTGTATTATTTGTGGAAGTTCATAAACCAAATTGAGACTTGTAAATTTGCTGTTTTCATTACAATGCATGCCCATAGGAAATATTTCAGCTATTCTTTGCTTCATCAAAGTTCAATGGCATCAGGGTTCCCTGTCCCATCTTGCAACATGTTAATATACATATCATTTGTATATTTTTTCCAGCTATTTGTCCAGCTATTGAGAACTTATCAATTTGCTGATCTTAGCAGTATAGTCAATATTGACTGCAAAGTAATTCCACCCTGCATTATGAATTTCTGGCAACTAATATACAATACGAAGAGGTCCAGCCACATGGAATTAAGATGTTTTGCAGGATAATGTGCACTATCATACATGACCTTGTCCCATTCCTGAAGTAACAGGACCAACAGAGTCTTCTTCCTTCTTAAGGAGAAGACAAAAGCCATGAGAGGTTTCCCGCAGTCCTGGGGAGAGGGGGGGAAATGGTATCCCTGTCCTGCCATTAGAAAGTTTCACCAGTTTGTTTTCCAGAATGTGTTTCTAACTTTTTTCAACTTGTTTGTACTACGTCCGCTGGAACTGGTAGCTGTTTCTGTAACGTAGTCTTTTTAACATTACTCCTACTAAAGTCTGCATTTGCATGTTAGATGTACATCATATTACCATTATTCCACAATATGAGTTCGATGTGTGTTATGGTTTTGTATTTTTATCCTTTGATTACAAATAAATCTATTCCTTTCAATCAAGTACAGAAAGTCAGGGGTTTGGTTTGCTGGGATTTTTTTAATTACTTTCCATTGTTATGATTTAGCTGATTATTGCTGACTGGCATTTCTTTGGTTTTTGTAAATCTGATTATTCATTTTCTAATTATGGTTGCAGGTAATGATGGGAAGTGACATATAATCAAGCCTCCTAATTAAATTTTCCGTTGTAAATAATGCCACAGATTTTGTATCTATGCCTTGTTACCTTTTTTCTAAATGTTGTTGTCAAAGCGTGAGATTGCAGCTAGGTTTGTGACACATTTCAAATGAGACAAATGTTTGTTGGTTCTTTTGGCTTTCCTTTCTCTGAATCAAGATGGGAAAGGATTTTCCAAGAAACAGTTACACTGCCAATTCTCTATTTTTTTTTCTGTCAATAAAGCAAGGCTCTGCATTTTATTGTTAATCTTCTTAAAGTTGAGTAGTAATTGAGACAAATAATGTATTGCATGCCCTTGGGACTGAAGTCTTTTTGCTCTAGAAGTGGTCCACATGAGAAGAGGCATAATCAGTGCCTTTGGTCTTGTAAATATAACTCGTATATTCATATATATATACACACACTAATAATTTACCTTTATATATATTACCAATTAATAAAATTTCTGAAAAGCAGTGTCAGTGGTGGAAAATGAGAATTCTTTAGTTGCAGGACAGAATAATTTAAGCACAGTGGTATTTAATAGTTACATACACTACATTACACTGTGATGTTCTAGAAATTAAAGCAGTTTTTACTGCAAAGCTTTTACTCTTTATTAAAAGACAAAATGCCAGCAATCACTGAGAAAAGCAAAAGTAAGAATAATAGAAATGGAAAGAGAAAATTAGTGTTCTTATGGCTGTTTAGAACTCCATGTAAGAAATTCATGAGTCAAAACACAAAAAAGTCAAATGGTCATGTCAAAATTGAATTAAAGGGGGCACCATAAGCAGCTTTTATAAATTATCTTATATCTGTTCAGAACTGGCTTAATCTTTCCACGTTCAAGAAACAATTGCAAATACAAAAAAATCTTTTCTTGCTATAATCCTTACTCCAACTCCTTTTTAAAGCTTTCCTATAATGTGTGTGTTTTCTCTAATTCTGTATCTTGATGTCAGAGTAGGTTATGCTTCATCTCTGTCCTGCAGAGTAATTTGAAAAAAGTAGTAGATAACAATCTCCATACAATGTCCCATAATATCTAATTGCTTAGACACTATTCTTATCTGTACTGTGCTGTTCTGACCTATTCAGATAATAACAGTTCAATAATACGGTTTCCAGTGTCACTCTCAGTTTGAACAAAGTAAACTGGAAAATACAACCAAAAAGTGGTCATTTGATGAGGTACAGAAGCAAACCGTTGAAAAAATGGATGTGATACATTATATTTTTTCTGACATTCAGGCTTGCTTCTTCTTTGTTTATACAGTTCTGACTTCCAAGACATCATTTTGGCTTCGGGAGCTAACTAATGCTGAGTCTCTATAGTTAGTCTTTAGTGTGACTGAGAAATGATTGCATACCATAGAGAAAAAAAGATTAAATCTAAAATCACTTTTTCATGGAGGAGTAATGGTCTCAAATACTTTTCCCAGTGGGGACATACCTTGTCTTTATTTCATTGGGTAATTGTTCTCAGTAGTACTTGACTAGCAATTCTGCTAATAACATCTTCTCATTTTCTAACAATTTAAAAATAAAAATACGTGAATCACTATAAATTATGTTGTATCAATGTACATTATGGGAATTCTTTTTCCATTACATTGTCACCACTACTTAAGTTGTTTTGTGTAAGGTTGATTTATGGTGAACCCACAAGGCTGATATTTTTCTTGTAATGCTTTGACTGCACACTGGTTTTGCAGAAAGAGATGAGCAGAAGCGTGTATTAGAAAATGGATTGTTAGTGCACTGATGAACTACATATGATTATTCATTTACTGTGTCTACAGATATTGAACATAGATTCTGATCAGTAATATGCAGCAAATTGCCTACTGTTTTAGATATAATACAACTCTCTGAGGTGAAGATATTCATACTGGATACTTTGGACAGTTTTCTCTCAATTTGCATGATAATACTGTGAAAATAATAAGAAATAAGAATAGTGAAGAAAATCAATTTTCTATTTGTATTTTTCTTTTCTATGATTAATTTTTAATTTTATTCCTTATGAAAATAGTTATTTTCCTTCAGAAGAAAGGAATCTATATTTTCTTGACTACAATTTAGTCAGAATTTCCTTAGACAGATTTTGTCCTTATTGTCACAATGTCAGAGTTATACAAGTTTGAGCAAGAGAAGGTTTTATTATGATCAAGAGAAACTCAACTGAATAATTTACAGGGTGATGAAGAAGTAATTCTTTGAATAATTCCTTCTAATGATCTTGAATATAGTGTAGTACTTCTGTTTAATAGTTTTCAAAATCAACTGTTCCAACTAATATTAAAAACAAACATTTTCTTCAAACCCTGCTGATTACTGTCTTTGTTTTAAATAGAAAATACAATCTGAATTAACAAGCCATGAGATCAGTTTGGAAGAAATGAAGAAACGAAACCGTGGTAAAGATGCTGCCAAAAGAGTGCTTTCTCAAATCGATGTGGCACAGGTATGCAAATTTTAAGTCCTCCATCTTTCCTTGACTCACGCAAGCAAACAACACAAGTAGTACGATTACTATAGTATGAAACATTCTTGAGGCATCTCTTCTGTTTCAGCTGCTCCTTTCCAGCAAAGAAATTAGAGTAGATAAAGCATAACATCCATATCTTCTTACCGGTCCTTTTTCTATTGCAGCCTTCCTAGATAATTGGCAAGAGTACTAGGGTATGCAGAGTTGACGTAAGCAACTGGTAGGGACACTATATAAGGGGTGTTTTGAATGTGCAGTGGTTGCAAGAAATGAAACTATAGTGAAGCTTATGCATTTTAAGGTGTTTGAAAATATTCAGAGTTAAAAGTATTTGAAAATATTTGGAAATATTTGGTAGAACATCATTTGAAAGACAAGTCTATGCTGAGCAGTGCATTGCAGTCATCAGTTTAAAATGTTAACTGAGGCCTCATTTAATTAACATTTAGGAGTAATACACTTTTTTACCCATTAATCTGTAGTGAGTTCTTGACTGTTTTGCTGTTTTACATTTTGGCATTAGTGCCAAAGTTCCCCAGGCTGCAAACCAAATTGGCTTTCATTGGGAAATTAATTGGGAAAGACAAATAATTTCATTATGATATTAACAGTAAACAAGTCCATCTTTTTCTTCATCACTGTCAAGTATTTCAAGGCGTCTTAGCTTCAGTTTTATATTTTATTGTGAATAACATTAATGACTTCTTAACAGTTAGTTAACTTGAAAAAAAACCAAGTTATTTAAAAAATAATCCTCCTCCTATACAGGACTAACTTTCTTTGTTGAGGATATTTACGTTTCCTTATTTTTGTGCCTTTCTTCCTACTAACTCACCTTCTGATGATCTACATGACAGCTGTGATGTTGCCTGTAGTGAAATGCTGTCACCAGATGACTTTGTACCTAAATGTTTATAAATTCAACAGCATGCAAGGGAGCACTACCCTTTCTAGGTGATTTTTTTTTTTTTAAATCCATCTTTGTGCAAATATTTTTTTCTTCAAAAGGCTTCTCTTGATGACTATATGTATCAGTTTTGGTTTTGAAAAATTGGTGAGAGGCATTTTTAGAATCTGTTTTGCTTATGCTAGATAAAATGTGGAGAAAAAAAAAAAAAAGGCAAATTTACATGCTATTGTGGTTTAACCGCAGCCAGCAACCAAATACCACACAGCTGAACACTCACCTCGTTTCTCACACAGTGGGATGGTGAGGACAATTGGAGGAAAAGACAAGGGTACTTTTGGGCTGAGAAAAGCACAAATCACTCCAAATACCAACTTTGCTTAGTTAGCTGCTTTTAAGTACCGAGCTGATATATTTTTTAACTGTCAGATAACTATAAGTATATAATACAATGCTTATAAGTATTTATTATAACTCAAGTGAGAGTGTCAATAGATAATTTAGAGCCCACTTGTACATCAAGCTTAGTGTTTCTTTTGTGATGTGCATTACTTAACTTTTGGATAATTAAATCTAATTTGCTTGGGTTTTTTGCCTACAGACACTCAACACTATACAATCCTTCAATGACTATTCACAGTTGGCTTTAATTTTCTCTACCATTAATACTATAAGTTTCTCTATTTTCTAGGTAATTTTTAATGTATTGACTAACAGAAATTTAACAGACACTGATGTGGTATTGCAAGCTCCCCACAGGACCAGATCTTCATCAAGCTGAAGTGTCAGAAGATGAAAAACTAATTAAGTATGAATTTAGTGTATGCAAACACACTGAAGAAAAATAAGACCACTTATTCTTACCCTTTGTTTATTATTTTTATTCAATTGTTCACTTATTTGTCTAGAGAAAGACTTCCTTTCTTGCCTCATTGGATCCCAGTTTCTTTAAGAGTATTTAATGACAAAAGTTGCTGGAAGGAGCCACCAGAAAACTACAGAGTTTTCTGTGTTACCCAGAATTATCTTCTGCTTACGATTCCTGCCTCCTTTATCGAAATCGGGTAGATGTGGAAAGCGTTGTTACTGATGCCTATGTATAGGCTAATTCTATTCCTTATTATATAGACTTTTCTTTTTTTTTCTGAAGTTTGGGTAGTACAGAAACATTGTATTGGTATAAATTGTCCAAGATTTGAAGATTTAAAAAAAAAAAAAAATCAAAAGTGTGTTTGCAGATGCTGAGTTCTTATTTAATTACTTATCCATTTCTTAGTGACATTCCCTTTTTTAAAAGAGTAGAAAAACTTATTCTACTAATACTTTGCTCCCTACTTCTAAAGAGAAATAAGTTCTTATTCAAGTAGATAATTAAAATGCCCTTCCTTTGCTTTATTTTTAATTACTTCCCCTCCCCCTGAGGTAGGGATCATGTGAACAAGCAATGTAATTAATACACAAAGATAAAAAATTGTGAAAATTGTGAAATTAGAAAGCATGCTTGTCATAGATTTTTCTGACTCCAAATTACCTTCTTTTTACTCTAGGTTATGCCTTTTTAAATTGAAATAGAAATCAATTTTATACTCTAAATCTCAGGTTTTGTGCTAGACCTACTTATTTTCCAGCCACTTTATTAAGGTTTCTTTGAGGAATTAAAAGATTCAGTCATCACACCAAGAAGAAACAACTCTATTGAGTTGATGAGCATGCACTCTGGAATTTGAATTTGTTATGCTTAACCTATTAAACCTCTGCTCTCACCCCACCCCCCAACAGTTTGCATGTTGGAAAATAGAAAAACTCTCCCTTTCTTCAGTTGAGTACGGGGGCACTTTTGTCACTGGCCCTACTGCATCCAGTCCTCTGGATGATACAAGAATACTTTCCTCCTGTGAAGACCAAGATTCTCTGCTTCTTGTATTTTCCCCAAAAGTTTAAAATTCTTTAAATAAGAAACTGCTGATTGATAATGGATTCTAAGTATTCTGAAACAGGCCTAATACTTGACTTCAGCATTGATTTGGTTTCACATTTACTACTCACCCATATTTACTTTTCAGAAAAAGCTGCAGGATGTCTCTGTGAAGTTCCGCTTGTTTCAGAAGCCAGCCAACTTTGAACAGCGCCTACAAGAATGTAAAAGAATTTTAGATGAAGTGAAGTTGCAGGTGCCCAAGTTGGAGATGAAGAGCGTTGAGCAGGAAGTAGTGCAATCACAGCTGGATCACTGCATGGTGAATATTTAAAGATGTTTTCTTTCTATTTGTTTCCTGCCTGTTCTGCCTTTCAAATTTAAAGTATTTTCAATGGTATCAAGATTTCTTTGGGAGATAGTAAAAAAGATTCTAAGATTGAAGACCAAAGTTGCACAATGAATGTTATAGAAACCTTTTTAAAGGTTTTTTTTTTTCAAGAACCATAGAGATAAGGGGGTAATCCTCCTTGTCTTCCTTCTCTTGCTTTCAAATGAGGTTAGAAGGACACTGTATACTTAAAGTTGTCTTCAATTTCAAAGTTTCTCAGGATATAAGAACATGGTGAAATAGTTCTAAGAATCTCACAGTGACTTTGCCCTTTCTATATGTTGTTCTCTTCTGCCATGGCAAAGACCTCTCAAAAGTAGGGGATGCCTATTAAATGACTGAAAAACCCTGAAAATATGGCTATATGTGGAGAAAGCTAAAGATTATAGAATGTTGTCTGGAATTCAAAATGCGAAACAAATTATTAATTATGAAATTGAAAGAAAAACTAAAATATCATATCATTCTCATTTCAGTGAACTTCCAAACAAAGGTCATGCACTTTCCCACTGTGAGAAGGCTAGTCAGGATCCCTTTCTAATTCCCCCTTCTTATCTTGCATAAGAGTTTATTTCCCTGGATGGGCTCTATTTTTCACAAAATGTAACTGTCATGGAACTCTATAATGTAACCAAATGAGATTTTGTAATGCACAAGTCTGTTCTAGCCAGAAAACACAGACAATAAAGGAAAAAACTAGATTACAACTTCCACGAGGTGGCATGCTGTAACATTTTCTACAAGCGCAACAGAAGACCTGATTATGTCCTAAAAATATGAGGAAAATCTGTATGTATGCTTCTTATATACCTGTAATCCTGTACCCCTTTACTATTGAAGGGAAGTAAAGACCAAGATGAACACCATGTGTCAAGGATGATAAAACAGATTTCAAAAGCAAATAAGCAACAATCAGGACAATAAGATCCTTGTCTACATTTGTGTTTTTCTGGAGTAATGGCATGCCTGAAGATGTTTATTTCCCTCAGCCTCTTTTAGATCTAAACATAAGAATTCAAATTTAAATGTGTGTGGAAGATATTGATGCTATTTCTTAACATCTTGGGGTTTTCTGAAATACAATTACCCTTAAATTCATGGTCATATCAGTATGACATGGTAATTAAAACCTCTGTACTGAATTAAAGTATTTTCACTCAGCAGCTAGCTTTTGCAGCCTTGTCCAATGTGGATCATACAACAGGTTCCTAATTTGTTGACAGGTTTTCAGTGATGATGAATGTATTTATCATATTGAGCACCTAGAAAGCAGTTGGACAATGTACATATCACCTTTGAGTGAAAAATAAATAATAACCATGTTAAGAATTGACTTGGTAATTAAGTTTAGATTATGGAGGAAATGTGTTTGGGTTTTTTTGTTGTCCGATCTGCTGGAAAAAAATTCTTGTTTTTACTGTCCAGATATACTAGACACAGATTTTATATTGTGGAAGATACTGCTACTAAGAGAAAAGCTGAAAAAATTAGAGATGGAAAATAAAGGGCAATGTAATTTATTTTGCAGTTCTGTCAAAGTGTATAGGACAGTAAGTTTATTTTCCAACACATGGTGGCAAAATGCTAGAAGATAGAATTCAGCTAGACATCTCAACAATAAAACTTCTCAACAGCTTTTACATTTGCTATTCCTCGCATACCTGCGTGGTGAAAGACACTGTATCTCTGTGGAGTCTTTTTCCACTGTTGAATTTCCACGTCATGCCAGAACTTAATACTAGATTAAAAAGAAAAAGAAATTCACCTTCTGCTCTACTTACACAGTGTTAATTTGGGAATTTATGTGGCTGATAAATGGCTCAAGAGATTCCAAGTTATACATTTAGATGATGATACCTACTTTCCGCATATGGAAACAAAGAATGCTTTCATTTTTCTTAGTATTGGTGATTTGAAATATGAAGGATATATGTTTACAGATTGCTAGCTTATTTAATATAGTTTGGCTTACCCTCATTATATTACTTTTTCATGTAAATTTTTTAATGATTTAATGTTGTGAGCTGTATTACAATTAGTAAATTCAAGGGAAATCCGCTATATTAGAAGTCTCTGATTTACTAGTATAAAAAAAAAAAAACAACACCAAAGAAAAAAACCCCAACAGATTTTTAAGTGAGTTTAATGGCTATCTGTACTTTAAATACATCCAACGATGAATTCACAGAAGACATCTTGTTTTGTTCTAAATATTGCATTATTTAAACCAGTTTGAAAACAACCTTTTCATATCTGTTAACAATTACTAATGGTATGTACTTTCTTACCTCCAACATTTCTACCATTGGTTTTGGTGACAAGCCTTTGAAACCAATATTGGTGAAGATAGACTGTACTGAATCTGTTAATTTGAATTCTGATTTAGAAACTGATCCATTTTTCTCAAAAACTTTTTTTAACACACACTCAGGGTGAGTTTTCATTATCTTCAGGTCACATACCATAGTACCTCTCAACTCCTTTGTCTTTCAAATGGAAGTGGAAGGTGCTCGGTCATGTATGATGGTGGTTTTATACAGCAAACAATGCAAAGACTTCTAGTGCACGTCTATAATATCTTCAGCAGTCTTTTCTGGTTAACTTATTTTAATGGTCGTGTTTCATATTTCTATTTGATCAGAAATTATATAAAAGCCTGAGTGAGGTGAAATCTGAAGTGGAAACAGTGATAAAAACTGGGAGGCAGATTGTTCAAAAGCAGCAGACAGAGAACCCAAAAGAGTTGGATGAAAGGCTTACAGCTTTGAAGTTGCAGTATAATGAATTGGGTGCAAAGGTAAGCTCTATGTTTTTAATATGACATTGGTTTAACTTCCAAATTGAAGAATAATCTTGGTATGGTAAGTAAATGTGGGGTTTTTATTGGTTCCATTCAAGGCCCTCAGATTTTCTGAACAGTGCACAGAAAGAATGGAGGCAGAGGGAATCATCAGGACGGCTATTCAGTTGTTCTATGATAAAACAGAACCTTATAGAAAAATATTAAATTGCTTTTTTACAGTTTAAAATTATACTTTCCTACTGTTTTAACTTCCCTTGGTTTTGCTCGTTCATTGGTATTTAAGGGTCAGAGGAGGATGTTGTTTCAATGCCTCAAACAGTAAATTCTTTCAAAACACTTCAGGTCAGGAAAATCATAGAATCATAGAATGGTTTGGGTTGGAAGGGACCTTAAAGATCATCTAGTTCCAACCCCCCTGCCATGGGCAGGGACACCTTCCAGTAGACCAGGTTGCTCAAAGCCACATCCAGCCTGGCCTTGAAGACATCCAGGGATGGGGCCTCCACAACATCTCTAGGCAACCTGTTCCAGTTTTATTCCATATTTACATTTAGTTGTTACTTTTTCATGTTTTACCTAAAGTGCTACTTCATAGGAGAGACAATTCTTTTCACTTCATTCTCCCTCTGTACAGATCTTCACATATTTGATTTCTATTTGTTGCTGTTCAAAAATCTGTGACAAAAAATTCTTGCTACTGCAACTTTCTTCAAGAGGCATTTGTGTATCACGCTGCTTTGCTTCATCTGCACTCTTGAGTTCAACTACAAATGTGTTCAGTTATTGTCATAATCGTTCCCTGGCTTAAATTTTACGTACAACTCTGACTTCCCTTTTCACGATATCTTAATCTATAAACCACATAGAACATTGTTTAGTTACGAGTATTTGGACTAACTTGCTCATCATTTTACATCTCAGATTCCAGCAAACACATGTTTAGAATTAAGTCATTTGTTATCCTCAATTCCATATGGATTATCAAACTCATTCATGTTGGGCAAAAATTAACCAGCATCCTTTGAGCTCTGTAATGAGGCATGTATTGTCTTGGAATAGAACTATTTAGAAAACTTGGTTAAAAAAACCCAAAAATGATATTTATATAGTTGTCAGTGTGACCACATAATATATGTTACCATATGCTTAGGAGGACTTTATGAATACTTTCCTTATATTTTCTTATCTAATTTCAGCTTCACCTACAGAAAAAAAAATAAAGTTCTCAAAAAGGGATAGTCTTTTACCTAATGATGCCAATGATTTAATTTATATATAATTAACCTTGTAGGGTAATTCTTACTAATTTCCCAAACACTGTCATTCCTTATATAAAATTCCTATACCTCACGAATTTATTTATCAGTTCATATACAGTTAGATGCTGTTACACTTCCCAACAAGAGAATGTTCTAATTTAATATTTTTTCCTAGAAGTCAAATAAATAGGCAATAGGAGAGACAACTAACCAATATGAACAGGAGTGTGATTAAAAAAAAAAAAAAAAGTGTGTTGATCCCTAAAGGTTTTTTATTCTGTGTCTGCATTATCTATGGAGTGTGTTGCCTGTTCCTGAAGTACAATCATCTACAAGGATCTTTTAGTTCTGAAGAGGAGTTGTGACATTATCCTAAAGAAGACCTCATCAAAATGATTCTGTTAACATCTATCCTTTGTTTTCTTCCTCCTGCCCTCATTACAACTATCCACAGAACTTCTAAAAACTGTAAGATCAGAGTAAATTTGGTGCTGTAACTGGCTGAATGAAGATTGTGAATGACAGATATAATCATCTGTTTATTTCCAAAATTTATACACTTCAAATAAACAGAATAGGACAGAATGCAAATTCTTTATTTTGTCAGATTATAAATTATTAAACCCATAAATTATTACTATCTGGCAAAATGAGCCCATGGTAATACTGAGAATCAGTATGTGGTTTAAACACAAAATTATAATCAAACCCGACTGACTTCAGTATGATAAAAACAATAGGAGATATGTTATTTTTCACAGAGCTAATACTCATTTGGAAGCCTGAATTAAAACAGTTCTCTCTTGCAAGAAAATAGATACTGAGAAACATCAATCTTTTGAGTGTCAAGAAAACTGAAGAGTCTGCTTCATTAAGGTGTGGATAGATATCAATGGAGATTAGATTATATATTTGGTTTCTCCATTATTTTAAAAAGGATTGTAGCATTTAGTCCTACATTATGTTTAACGTAACAGCAGACAGGTGCTATTGTTATTGGAAACCTCCCTTAACTAATAAAGGGATAAAAATGTGCCATTAGGAAGCCATTAGTGATCTGAACTGAGCCATATTGCAAATTAATGTGTCTCAAAAATCTACAGTGCTGTGTTTAGCTTTCTTGTCGAAGATGTAATTTCTCACATTTACTTTTATGTAGCGTGGTATTTAAGCATTTTAGAGAGAGTCACAAAGGATATAGAACTAGAAGAATCAGTTAGCTATTATCAGCCCTTATTGATTGCATTGATTTAAGGTTTGTTTTTTTAAGAGAAAAATTATAACAATATTGTATAAATTATTATGTAAATTATAATAATATAAAATGTATACATATATACAGGTCAAAAGCATATTACAGCCTAGGTATTTTGTTAGTTGTGAGTGGCTGTGAGGTAGGATCTCTAGCCTCCTTGTGTCAAATCTCTCTGTGGTAATTCATCAGAACAGGGAGTTGGACTCTAAAAGAAAGTACCAGCAATAATGTTCTTGTTGCTCTCCTAAGGGCACTTCATGCAGTAGTGGCTTTTACAAGACCAGGTCTTTCCTCAAAATAGCACTGCTGCACAGCAAATTTTGGCTGTAAGACTGAAAAGCTGTAAAATATATTTCTTTTGATTCAAAGATCAAATTTTCTTGTTTGACTCTTATTTATTACATCCAAGTATTCTTGCGAATAAACTACTACTCATAGCTAAAACATCTTTAAAATACAGAGAAAATGCAATGAGATAGTGTTTGCTGTGTGTGTACAAAACAGAAGGCCTTTAGAGGGCACTGTTTCTTAGTTTTCGTTAGAATTACATCTTTATATTTGAAGCACAATCAGAAAATAATTAATCCATAACCTTTGGATATATACAATGTATGTGGAAATATTGTAATATTATTGATATTATATACAGAATGTAGAGATGTACATAGCAAAGCAAATATTCTTTCTACGTTTGGGCATGTATCAGTAACTTCACGTTATTGTGTACAAGTGTTTAGGACTCTTACACAAGCAGTCACACTTAGGGTAGCGCACTGTGCATTGTATTGCTGTTAAGTACCTGCAAATACTTATTTACAGTACCTATTAATACTCATCAGAAAAAGAGGTGGAAAACATGCGTGCATTCCTGGCTCCATGTGTGAATGAAGCTCTAAAAAGCTGAGTTTTATGGTTCTTCCCAGGGATTTACCTCTTGGCGTGCCTGTAAATTCTGAGGTCTCATTTAATAAATTGGGCACACAGAAAAGCACATAAAGCTAATTCAGTAACAAAGAAATGTTCTGAGACTTTAGCAGTAAGCCTCTACGGAGTATTAATATATGATCAGGGATATTTTATCACTTATTCCCAGGGCAAACCTGATCTGTTTACCCAGGGATACCAAAAGCTATGTACCCTAACCTTGTAACATCTTATTACATTTTAAAACCTCAAACTCTCTTTGACAGTAGAGCTAGGAATCAATTTGATTATTGTGTTGCTACTTGTATTTAAACAGTGTCGAAGCCCAAAATAGTTTTAGTAGATATTGATACCATTTTTGGATACCTGACACTACTGTAGACACTTTTTTCAGTTTAAGAAAAACATAGATAAAAAGCAGTGGTTACAATCTGAAATGCAAGGTAATGAGTAATTTCTTTCAACTATTAGCAAACTACTGAACACTTTTAATCCTCCCTCTTTATTCAGCCTTTTTTCAAACTTTACCACAACATAATTTATTAATTTTCATTTTGTAACTACCAGTTGCCTGGTGTCTGAGATCTCTTCATTTACTCTTCTGCTTTCTTCAGAAGATGTGTGTTTCACCTTTCTTTGCTTGATTTATTTAGAACACAGATGCCTAATCTTTAGTCAGTGCCAGACAGTATAATTTGAGGATGCTTTGGTTTTCACCCTTTGTATGAAAGAAAAAAAAAAACCATATTAAAACCAAAATAGAAGGATTCCTATTGCAGGATGGCTATGAGTCTGACTACTTGCTGGGAACAATGTGTATCATGTAAGAGTGGCGGACACATTTTTAATGAGGTATGGGAGGGGGGCAAGAGTGCTTAGTAAAGAATTCATCAAAGAATGTAATGTAAACATGTGAGTAGTTCTGCAGTGACCCAAATAAATGTTATTAAACTGTGGAAAGGATTTACTAATGATACACACCTCTGATGATTTTTAATTTAATTTTCAGTTTGCTCTGGAAAAAAAAAAAGATTACAAATTTCTGTGCAAAATCCCTACATATAAAGAGTTTTAAACAGAAAAAAAAAATTTTGCTGAGAAATGGAAAACTTACTTAGCTGTGCTGCCTTAGTGTGACATCATTCAGTGACTTTCATGTTTCAAGATTTTGGGGATTCTTTGGCAGAGATTTTTTTTTTTTCTTCGATGTAGTGTAGCTACTTGGAAAAACCCCATTGAGGATTCAATATCACTATATGGCCATCTATATGAAAATAGACTCTTTGAAGGGTTTTGGCATCTATTTTCTGTCTTGAGGAAAGCCTGTTAATTCAGTTGTTTCAAATGAGTTTGTTATGCATGACTTCAAAACTGAGGAGGAGGCTTGCACAGGTCTGCTGCTAGCTCAACACAGTTTGTCTTTAGGCACATATTTTTCTTGTAGGTATTTGCATTCTAGCAGAAAAATTGCAGATACTGAGAAAACTACGGCAAGACATAACCATATTAGAGGTGCAAGTTGGCTTGTGAAATTGTAACTTAAGCTTCTGCAGAAAAGTGACAGAGAAAATGGTATATAAAAATCATTAAACCTGTTTACTGTTGACTGAAGAGTTAAAAATCACACGTTTTCTTTCTGCAGGTGACAGAAAAAAAGCAAGAGTTAGAGAAATGCTTGAAATTATCCCGGAAGCTACGAAAAGAAATTAATGCTATGACAGAATGGCTTGCAGCGACAGATGCAGAATTGACAAAGAGATCAGCTGTGCAGGGGATGCCTAGCAATTTGGATGCTGAAATTGCCTGGGGCAAGGTAAAATGTTACACACACTGTACCCTTATATATCTCAGTTTATGCATATTAAGCAGAGCTAGATTTCTTTCTTGATAAAGAGAATAAAAATTCTGGGGTTTTAATTAGTGGGATTTTGTAACTGTTATGGCATTATCTCACCCTAATATTAATGCTCAGAAAAATTTTAACTGTCTTGTCTCTGCATACAGCAGTAGCACAATTCACCTTCATATTGCAGTGATCTTCACTGAGTTGAATTTAAAGTCAGCATTTCATTTTTCAGAGAGTACTATAAATTACCCATCCAGTATCCATGTAAATAGAAATCTCTTTCTCAGTCATCCCATTCTACTCAGAATTAGGACTGTAATAAACAGTGTAACTCCAGTGGAGGAAAGATTAAGGATGTCAGAACACTATATATTCTACATGTTCAGATAGCAGCCAGGAGGTGGGATATTTGTTTTCCAACCGTTTTTGCTTTGTAGCTCATTTGTTTTCATTCTGGGGGCTTCTTACCTCTGTAAGACTTCACCTTGAACTCTTGTTTTTGGTTAAAATGTAAAACCCAAAACGAAACCTTCCTCAAAATTACTACGTTTGCCACAGCTTAGATAAACATCTTACAGTATCATTGAGGAATGTGAGTTCTACATCAAACTGAATACCTCTGTGTGATGTTAAGACTTACAGCGGTATCATTCAACACTAGCTAATCTATTTTATATTCTGCAAATGTAACAAAAATCCAATCAACAAACCAAGCAATCATTGTACACATATACCAAAATCTGGGTTTTAGAGAAGCCTATGCTTGTCATTTCCTAAAGCTTCAAAATTTCAAATAATTATGTGGAGATAGCAACATTTTGGATAAGTGTACCCATATACTAACAAAACAAAACCAACCAAAACAAACAAAAAAACAAAACCTTAAACAGTATTGTTTATTTTTTAAAAATTTACCACTTCTGTTTTGTTTAACAGGATGAATTCTCTAAACATTTTCCCAGTTTCACCATGCATTATAGAAGTAATCATGAATAATACACAAGCAACCTTACTATTTTCTTTAAATACCGTGCGGATTAAAGGCACTGAGTAAAATTTGGTTTGTGGTTTTGGTTTTTGGTTGTGGGTTTGGTTTTTTTTTTCTTTAACTGCCCCTTTCAAGCTTCTGAGCTTGATAAAATGTCTTTAGCCTTGAAATGCACTGAAGATCTATGAACAAATAGCAAGAAAAACAAGTCTACAACATCTTTGTGATCAGTCTCTAAGAATGACAATATTTTAAAAGTAGTATCCAAAAATACATACACATCAACTTTTGCTGTTATTATGTTACAATTACTGCTTTGACTATTGCTGCTTTGACTTTCAGATCAGAACCTCGATCACGAAAAATAACACTGCTGATTGATGTTCTCTCATTTTCACTTTGTACTTTTCTTTAAGTCTGTGCATTTCCTGTTGTTACTTTTGATTGATATTGGGATCTTAACACCCCTAATAAAGGACAACTGTCAGATTTTTAAGAGAAGGATTATATAATCATATGGTTCTAATGCCTCCAAACTAACCTGCCAGTTACTCAGTCCATTTAACCAGTGATGAAAATAAGAATCATCTTTGGTGGTGCTAAACTACACAGTACAGTTTTACCGAAATAGAAATGTATGCTGTATATTCCTGTATGTGTGTTCCGGAAAGTTAATCCAGATTTATATAGCTTCACAGCAGTTTAAATAGAAAGATTTTTTCTTAATATCATTTAATTGTTAGATATGAACCTTAATGACACAGAAGTTGCATAATTAAAACCTAAAGCCTGATGATCAGTGCAGTTACACAGTGGGAAGTCCTCGTTATGTCTTACACTTGCTACAACAAGTACAACATATTTTTATCTTATGACAATCAAAAAAGGTAAGAAGAGCCAATTAAAATAAGAAATATTAACATGAAAAGTATGCCACGTGGGAACCACTCCACCTACTAATCTTAAAGAACGTCATTGAGTATTGTGAATTCTCACAAGGACATAAAGTGTTGCAGGAAAAACTGGTAAGAAGCGTATGTTCGCCTCAAATCCTGCCCAAAGCCTCCACTGCAGTCTAACCTCATATAGTACCTCAAGTCTTCTTCAGTCAGTGCATCACTAAAATAAGAATATAAACCCAACTTTGGATAAGAGTAGCTGTCTCTCGTTGAGTGAGTGGTTTTCAGAATTCCTTTATTAAAATTATCTTTAGAAAATGTAAACCAATATTCATATGAATATAAGCAGTTAATTTTGAGCAATCCAATAGATAGTATATTTGGCAGATTCTAGCCTTCTAAATGTATTTGCAGAATTATGTGAAGTGAGTATATTTTTTCCTAAAGAACCAGTTGCCACCAAGAGGCAGGAGTTGCAGTATATTATCCTGGACATTTTAAAATTTTTGTAAGGTCTGCGTAAATAAGTATGATACTGGTACTCCTATGTGGTTTTCAATAAGGCATCATAAAAATTGTACATCAATAATTCAGTGCCCAGAACCAGGGCCTCACAGTATCTGATTAATGTCACAGCTTTGAGCTTTGGACTTCCTGGGTAAGTAGGCTGCAGAAGACAGTAACTGATCTAATGAAATGCACTGGGAGATGAATTAAGGCTAGCAGATTCCCATTGTGAGGGAAGTCTGCAGAAAAACTATGATGGAAAATGGAGGAGGGAGAGAGAAGAACTCAGCAAAATTGGATGTGTGCTGTTGTCAATATAACTAAACAGAGAGCTCATAATCTTTTTTCTTTACCGTACAGGGAAGGAATTACACTTATTACTGCACTTATTCTTAATTCATTTTAAGTACCCAAGATTTCTTAAAAGTGAAAAGAACTTAGATGGCTTCAAAGATAATTAGAGGGGTTAGAATAAAAAAATCATACAAGCAAACATTGTCTACAAGGAATAAACACCCAGAAATAACAAGGAATTCCCATCTTGAGTAGGAAATTCCACTAATGAAACACAGGATTTATCTGGACAGGAAGTGTGTTATTTTTTCATGTCTAGAATTTTTCTAAGGATGGAACAGAAACTTGGCTGAGTTGTGTGAAATGAGGTGGGCAATATACTGAAGGCTGTAAATCCTGCCTTTTTACTCAGTAGAGACAAGCAAAATCTTTCCATTTGAATTAAGTTCTGTTATAACAGATAAGAAAAATTGCATGTGGGTGGAAAGATACTCATTAAACATTGTATATTAGTAATCTGTTTATAATTAGAAGTCTGATTTAGTGAACATATTTATCATTGAAGACATTGACCACTGCAGGGTTTATTTGTCTTTTAATCAGAAACTGGTCTGAGAAGAATTAGATTGCTGGGAAACCATGGTCTCAAAAAGGAAATGACAGATGATATTACCAGGCAAACCTCTGTATCAGTACCTGCTAACAGCAATATGAGTCTGCCATTGCTTTTATGTTGTATTTTAGCACAGTGTAGGATACCAGTGAGTATAAAGTTGATTTGAAGTACTTAGAATTACATTAGCTAACACATTTAGCAACGTATTTCCTACCAGTAAAATCGGTAAAAGAAAATTATCTGAAAATTACATCAAATGATTCATAGTCAGTGGCCAGAATACAATAAAAATAAAATATGTGCTGTGAATAAACAAATAAGTATGTATAATCAGCCACTGAGAAGGCCATAATGTCAGCTTCTGATTAATTCTGTAATCCTACCCATGAGAGCTGAGACACCTAACTAATTTCTTTAAGAGAAGTTCAAATTGCAAATATTACTTCTGAGTAATCCACAGTACACAGGTAGTGTGAAGGCAAACAGAACATTTCCTTAACCATTCATTGGTGTTGAATTTTTTAAATCTACATATGAATGCTGAAAAATATAATGAAGAAATGTTCAAAAAATAAACCAAACGTTATCAAAGTTGTGAAAGAACTGAGAAAAAATTCTCATACAGAGGCAGTACTAGTTGATAACGCTGTGCGGAATCTGACTGTCTTTACAGACCCTGCTAGGTTTTCAACGGCATTTCTTGCATCCAGGACTTTATATGTAAGACTTTTTAATAACTGAGATTTGAAAAACTGTGGAAGATGGCATTTTCATTTTGACCTTGTGTTGGATGCCTCAGTGTTTTTTTTTTTTTTAAGAAGGTGGTGGGAAGTGTGATCGTTTACTTATCTCATTGGTTATTTATGTCTCTTGCTTGCTAATACCTAAGAATGTTAATATTCATATTGCCCAGAGGTGCACCTAGTCTTTGGTTTACTTTATTTCTTTACTTTGAAAGGAACAATTCAAGATCAGGCAAAGCGTCATTACACTTTCTGTTACACATTGAGAATTATACATCTGGCTTTTGGGGAGCAGTTTTATTTAATAGACATTTAATTATCCAATCCATGTGTTTACATTTCTGGTTGTGCTTAATATTTATATTTATAGCCCGAGACTGGTCTGAGTTTTCATACATGTAAAATACAAAGAAAATGTCAACACATAGTAAATGTGCTTCAGAAAATCTTTTCCAAATGCAGGTTTATTGTTCAGAAAAGGTAATAAAACAGAGCAAAATTTTCCATCTGAGTTGGAGGTGAATTATATTATATGTCTTTTTCTTTTTTATGATTATTTTGATTTATGATTTTGTACCTACTGTGAAACAGATAAAATTGTGCTAGAAGAGGGCATGTTTGGGGGTTTTTTAAGCTGACAAGAACCTGTTAAAATTTGAAACTCTCCATTTCAAATTCTAGAATTTTGTAGTTTATAGTTAACTATTTGCATTAATCATGTCTTGGTTCTATTACAAATCCTCTGTGTTTGAGAAAATTGGTAGAATATAGAAAATTTCTCATACTTACATGAAGTGCAAGTGTAAAATCTTTGCTGTGAAATAACTTTACAAAATCAGTTTATTAATTTTGTTAAGCATAGGGAACTAACTGTTGCTTTAAGCATAACATATGTCAAGTAAATTGAAGATTGTATTGTACCAAAAATCCAGATTTCTATACTGTATTAGAAACAGAAAATTTTACTTTATCTAACAACACATTACCAACAAAATCATACTGATATGTGACGCTGAGGGTTGTGATAGCATAGAGATGATAAATGTGTAGCTCCACTGTAGTAATAGTGTTGATCTGAGATGGAAGAATCATGATTGTGGTTTGATTAGAAGTGGTTCTTCTATTAGTGTATTCAAGTTATCTACGAGAAATACATGTCTCTGGAGACTAGTGATTCTTACTTTTTCCCAACTGTTTGTGTTCAGTTTGTATTACTTCATTTCTAGTTGAAGCTTTATTTTAAAAGCAGACATCATATATGTCTGGATCATTGACATCAGGTGACTAAGAGCTCAGGTACATCTTTCCCATAAAACCATAAAACTGATTATATGTGATATTAGATTTCAGAAATTTGTGCCAGTCCTTGAGTATTCAGCGAGGTTGTTATAATCTGCATTGTGTCATCTCAGTATTTAGTATTAAATTCTTGCCTTTTTACATGTTCTCTAAATATGTAGATGTTTACTACTTTTGTTAGACTTCTTGCATGTTGCAACAACTATTAAGACATGAAAATGATTAAATTATGTGACCTGACATATCATTTATATTTATTTATATAAGGTAAGAATAGTGGGTAGAGATGGCGAAAATCTGATCAGGTAGCCCTGCACATGTATTTTATTCATTCAAGCCTAAAGATGCCATGGATAATAGCTTATTTTAGTATTTTAGTTGCAAAGTGAAATCCCAAGTGACCAGAATTAAAAGGTGCACTTCCACAGTTAAGAAACAAGAAAGCGAACAAGGAAGAAGAGCATGGTTTCTGCTGAAAAAGTTTGCAATGAAAAATATTAAAGGAATATTAAAATATTTGATGAGATTATTGTCAGCAGAGTTCTGTAAGTCTTAAGATGTCATCACGATGCTTTATTATTGGTCCATTTATTATGTAAGCTTTATGTGCTACATGATAACTATGACATTTTATTATATGTAAAGTAACTTTAAACTTCTCAGTATAAATATTGTAAAATGTGGATTCTTGTTTAATAATTAAGTAATAACGTTATATTTTGAACACTGGAATGAAATACAGTTCATACTTTCAAAAATGAAACTATTACCAAAACCAGTTGTGAGAATATGAAGAACATTTATAGTTTTATCAAAGATAAAGAGGAACAATTTACTTTTTACTTACTGTTCTTAACAGAATGCTTTCCCTTCCTATAGGAAGCAAGTGTGTTCCAGTATGAACTAACTGACTGTGTTAATTTTTTTATGTTCTTAGTGTGGAGAACTTTTCATTTCCTGATTATTTATTTATTTTTATTATTCTGCTCATGTAGGCAACACGGAAAGAGATTGAGAAACACCAGGTCCATCTTAAGAGCATCAGTGATTTAGGAGAGAATTTGAAGACAGTGCTGAAAGGAAAGGAAAGTCTAGTGGAGGATAAACTCAGCCTATTGAACAGTAATTGGATAGCAGTAACTTCACGCGCGGAGGAATGGTTGAATCTCTTAATGGTAAGGAAAAGGTATTTGTTCACATAGAGAAAATGTTGGTGCTCAACCTTACAGGAGCGCTTTTTCTAGTGCCCTTGACTACACTTGTTGAATACATAGATAAGCGGACAATCTGACTGCTGTTTAGTATATTATGTATATTTTAAGAATCTACCTGCTTACAGAGTGATGGTTTTTTGGAGTCTTGATTAGTAGTGCTTCCCATTCCTGTCTGCCTCAGTGATTCCTATAGTGTTTTGGGGTTTTTTTTGGTCAATGAATGAAATGCAGTTTCTCCCCTACTTGAATATGAATCAAGTGAAAGAAATAGTCAAATAAGTCTTTGAATTAATACCAACAACCATCTGCATTTAGCTACATCAGTATTTTTATTTGGAATAGTACACTAGGGAATTAAGTCCCTACTTACATTTTGGTTTGGTCCACAGCATAGTTTTGGTGTGGGTGAAGTAGATTCATTTCAGAAAACTAAATCAGGAGCTCTGCTCTTGGTGCACATCTAATGTGTCCAAGGACTATGATTTGGTCTTTCAGAACTGCATGATTCTCCTTTGCATAGTTATCTAGTGCATGTTTTGGTGAGGATAATTACTTAAGGGGACCAGATTAAGCCCAGTCAAAACTAAAATCCCTAATGCACATTTAATACACATTCAGGAGCCTCAGCCCCAGCTGCTTTGAAGTGCTGATAGTCACATAACTATATTTTCCTTTAAAGTTAATTCTAAAAATTAATTAATGGTCTTAATCATTGGTCTGACAGAATGCTTTGGGAAATGTTGTATGCTGTTTCTGTTGTTGAGAGCATGGGAATGCAGTTTAAACCCAGAGAAACTGAAGTGATTCCTAAGGTTGTGTTAGTCTTTATCATGACTTTTCAGACCTTGATCTCTTAGAGCTCCACTAGAGACTGTGTGGCTACATTACGACTGCTTCTGTGATGGGTATACAGCATCACTACAGGGCTTCATTGGCTGTATGCAGTATACAAGTGAAAGCATCTGATTGTGTCTATTCTATCTAGAAAACTTTAGCATTTCAGTAAGTATGATGTAGGTGCTCAGTGTGGAAATGATTATAAGAAATGTACAATGGGGTTTATAGACTGGTATAGCTACATATTCCTCTACTTTCTCCTTTTCTTTCTTTGGATTCTTTTGTTAGTATTTACTACAACCTACGATAAAAAGGTGTAAGAGGAGGTGTTTTTTTACTGATTTTAGAACAAGGTAAAATAAGGGTACATAAATGTGAGGGCCAAAAGAACTAGTAAAATCTTAGATCTCAGGTGTGTGGTACACATATGTATTGTATAGATGTACATAGGCCTCATTTCAGTGAGCTCACCAAAAGACAACGTGTTTTTAAATTAAGGAGAGAAATAAAGTTTTATCAGAACATAAACTGGAATAGTTTTTTAGAAAGCAGCATCTCAAAGCAGAGAAGTTAGATGAAATATAAATAAGAATTTTATATACAAAGCCCTTACTCTTGACTGTGACTTCACAAGTGCATCCTTGTTACCATCTGAGTTTCGATCAACTTAAGTGGTTTTCCGAAATGAGTTCCCTACCTGTTTTTTGGGAAACTCTTCTTTCCACCTGCAGTAGGCCTGGCTGTCATCTTCCCATTCCTCTCAGCAGTCTGGCTGAGCTGCTGACACCTGCATCTTGCTGTGACTTTATCACCCTCCTGCCTGCCACTTTGGAAGCTTCTCTGTCTCTCAGAATGTCTTTTAAAAGAAATTTGTAAAGAAACATATAAAGTGAGAGAAAACAAATAACAGATTCTATCTTTCACAAAACAAGCAGTTAATAAACTGCTCCTGTAAAATAAACAAGCTTAATTTCATAATGTATGCATGTCTGCCACAGTTGGCAAACTTATGGCTGTTATTTCAGTTCTGATTACTTTTTTTGTATGCAGTATTTACCTTTTCCACATACAGGAATATCAAAAGCACATGGACGCTTTTGATCAGAATGTAGCTAATGTTACAACTTGGATGTATCGTGCTGAAATACTGTTGGATGAATCTGATAAACAAAAACCCCAGCAAAAAGAGGAAATTCTTAAGGTAAAAAAATGTGATTTTCTGGAAAGCATTAATTTTATTTTAAAAAGGACTGTGTCAAAATGAGCATATTTTGAAAGCTATCACAAATTGATTAATATTCTATTTTCTATGATAAAGCTACCCTCTGGCGGCTTGTAGATTACTAAATAAATTTGCACTGCATTACAAAAGTTAAACCCCTGCAGAAATAAATCAGATGTGTTATTATAAGTCTTGTGGAATTCCTGGTGAGTAGAACAGCAGTTTATTAAACCTGTGTTTGATGGAAAATATTCCTTAAACACATCTGGTTGAACAAAATCTTTTTTCCTGCGTTCTTAATTTTAAATTGCTTTTCTGTTTTTCTGTGATACTTTTCTAATATCTATGGTATCTGAATTTGATACCTCTGTCATATGATTTAATTCTATAAACACTGTTTGTGTTGATGCCAGACCAACACCACAGACAAGAATATTACATGGTAAAAGAGCTGTGTAATGATCGGTTAGTGTATTGATTAGAAGCTTTTATTCGGCCTATTGCATCATTTGACTAACTGGTGAAAAGTTAACTTGCAAGATAGATGTGAATTTTTAAGTATATCTCATTTAAAATACCTTCTTTGTTAAGATTAAACAGCTTCAAATTATTATCTATATGGATTTTTTTTTTCTTCTGAAATTGGTGTAAAATTTTACTTTGTATTGGACTCCATGCTCAGAACATACTGTCTGAGGAATAGTTTGTAAATCAAAGTGAAAATTATATTGCTGACACTAACATAATGATACCATTTACTAGAGCAAAACTTTACAAATTCCAGTTGATGCCTCATTAATCTCAGAAGGATTACAGGACAGGCTTTTGTAGCTGAATGAACAATTCTGCCACTATCAAGTACATTCTACTATTATCCTTGCAACCAATACAGGTATATATATTTGTATTGCACGAAGGCATTTCATACAGACAGTGAAATGTAATTCTTAATGCCCAGCTGTGTTTAGGTAACTGAATGCCTGGCTGTATTTTTTGGCCTCTGGCCATACTGGGATCTACTGTTAAAATTACTGTCACAGAGGACAAAGCTATTTGCCCTCACCCTTTTGTAATTTATGATAGATTTATAGAAAAAATTCCCACTGATTTTCATATGGTCATTTTTCCCTGCCTCAAGTACCAGCATGAACAGTAACAAAAGCAACATCTACACATTCAGCTCCATAATACATTAATTAGCTCTTCTTAGCTTTAGGAACATGAAGTAATTTAGCATACCCTGAAATATGCTGAAGATTGTATTACTGCAGATAAGAACCTGCCTAGAAATAATGTTCACCATTAATTTCCTCTAGGAGATATTAAAACAGACATGTAGATAC